TGTACCGGTTTGCAAGGTTTTACAAGGTAAAATATAGGGCTTGCAAATTAAGTTCTCTGGACTTTCTGCCTGGGTTGTCAGACAGGTCCCTCAATACATAATTCATTAATAAAATCACATAATTATGTAAAAATAAAACATAAATATACACACAGAATGGAATTATATACACTGCTCAAAAAATAAAGGGAACACTTAAACAACACAATGTAACTCCAAATCAATCAAACTGTCCACTTAGGAAGCAACACTGAGTGACAATCAATTTCACATGTTGTGCAAATGGGATAGACAACAGGTGGAAATTATAGGCAATTAGCAAGACACCCCCAATAAAGGAGTGGTTCTGCAGGTGGTGACATGAGATGGAGTCTATAACCCACACAAGTGGCTCAGGTAGTGCAGCTTATCCAGGATGGCACATCAATGCGAGCTGTGGCAAGAAGGTTTGCTGTGTGTGTCAGCGTAGTGTCCAGAGCATGGAGGCGCTACCAGGAGACAGGCCAGTACATCAGGAGATGTGGAGGAGGCCGTAGGAGGGCAACAACCTAGCAGCAGGACCGCTACCTCCACCTTTGTGCAAGGAGGAACAGGGGGAGCACTGCCAGAGCCCTGCAAAATGACCTCCAGCAGGCCACAAATGTGCATGTGTCTGCTCAAACGGTCAGAAACAGACTCCATGAGGGTGGTATGAGGGCCCGATGTCCACAGGTGGGGGTTGTGCTTACAGCCCAAAACCGGGCAGGACGTTTGGCATTTGCCAAAGAACACCAAGATTGGCAAATTCGCCACTGGCGCCCTGTGCTCTTCACAGATGAAAGCAGGTTCACACTGAGCACATGTGACAGACGTGACAGAGTCTGGAGACGCCGTGGAGAACGTTCTGCTGCCTGCAATATCCTCCAGCATGACCGATTTGGCAGTGGGTCAGTAATGGTGTGGGGTGGCATTTCTTTGGGGGGCCGCACAGACCTCCATGTGCTCGCCAGAGGTAGCCTGACTGCCATTAGGTACCGAGATGAGTGAGATCCTCAGACCTCTTGTGAGACCATATGCTGGTGCGGTTGGCCCTGGGTTCCTCCTAATGCAAGCAATGCTAGACCTCATGTGGCTGGAGTGTGTCAACAGTTCCTGCAAGACAAAGGCATTGATGCTAAGGACTGGCCCGCCCGTTCCCCAGACCTGAATCCAATCAAGCACATCTGAGACATCATGTCTCGCTCCATCCACCAACATCACGTTGCACCACAGTCTGTCCAGGAGTTAGCAGATGCTTTAGTCCAGGTCTGGGAGGAGATCCCTCAGGAGACCATCCTCCACCTCATCAGGAGCATGCAAAGGCGTTCTAGGGAGGTCATACAGGCATGTGGAGGCCACACACACTACTGAGCCTCATTTTGACTTGTTTTAAGGACATTACATCAAAGTTGGATCAGCCTGTAGTGTGTTTTTCCACTTTAATTTTGAGTGTGACTCCAAATCCAGACCTCCATGGGTTGAAAAATTTGATTTCCATTTTTTAATTTTTGTGTGATTTTGTTGTCAGCACATTCAACTATGTAAAGAACAAAGTATTTCAGAAGAATATTTAATTCATTCAGATCTAGGATGTGTTATTTTTGTGTTTCCTTTATTTTTTTGAGCAGTGTATATATATATATATATATATATATATACATATATATATATAGTCAAGTTTATTTTATTATTAAGGTATATAGATAGATATAAATAAATATATTTCATTTTTAGTGTATATTTATTATTTTTTACATGATTATGTGCTTTTATTAGTTATATGTTGGGGTATCTACCTGACAACTAAACTAAGGCAGTAAGGGACTGCCTCGGTTGTCCGGCAGTCCCTCCGATCGGATCCAGCGTGGAGAGTAACTATTTCTGCTGCAGGGAGAGTCCAATCATTAAGGTGTTTTATGCTGCCCAAACGGCGTTAAAGCCCTCCTTTTGTAGGGTGGCACAGCATATATAAAAAAAAAACATTTAAAAAAATATTTGACAAAATAAAAAGTGTGGGACAATACAAGTGTATGCTATTTCTGCTTTAGTGCTTTATTGACTGAAAGAACTAGAATCCAGCTGCCATCTTGTGGCAATTAATATAACTACTGAGAATTGCAGGAAATTCAGAGTTTTAAATTTAAAAAATAATCGGACAGACTATGACTTGGGATTTTTTTTTTTCTAATTTAGGCCTACATTTTTAGCTCCAAACATCCATAGAATATTTGGTTTCTTTATGTTGTGCTTTCCTTAAACTTTTCAGCACGATGTGAAAATCTTTGCTGTAAATTCATTACCTTCATGCAATCCACGTCACCATCCAACTCTAGTCTCTAAAGATCAAGTGCAGAAAATATGCTAGGACAGCTAAATGTAATACATTTAGTGAACTCAAAGGCCAGCCTCCTCGCCTCCCCCCCATTCTTGGCATATCGCCTGCTTGGGACGATATAGAATCTTATTCGCTATCCTATGTTGTTTCCCTTCCCAGGTAAATGAGCCAATGGCCACTTGTAAACCAGCCAGAACCCACTTATAATCCAGGACCAGGAGGACCTGAAACAAAAACTATAGTCTGGGCATTACATTCATCTTTATGGTATGTATTCTGCCCATCCAGGATATGGGTTTTGCGTCCCATTTTTACAGATCATTCTTAACAGATGAATGTTAAATTGTTTTATGGGCCAAGTCTGATTGGGTCAGCTGTAAAACGTACACCCAAATAGGAAAGCAAATTTCTTTGCGTATAGATTCCAAACTGCAGCCTCAGCTACGCCATGTCCCCATTCCACTGTATTAAACATCAAATAGCTTGTTTTTTCCAGATTCACCATGTATCCAGACAGTGCCTCAAATTGGATCAACAAGTCAAACATAGTGGAAAGGGAGGTTCTTGAATCAGCGATGCTCAAGAGAACATCATCTGCATAGTCAGATACAGAATATGAGGACACTGCTATTGTGAATCCCTTCATCTGTGCATGGTTTCTGATTAAATTAACAAGGGGCCCTAGTGATAGAGCAAAAAGCAGGGGAGACAAGGCCAGTTTGGATATTTTGAGCTTAATTTTGAAATTCACTTTCAATTCACATTGAATTCTCACTTTAGTGAATAACCCTGAAAGACAGAGTGCTACAAAGATTGGAACTTATGAAAGTGCAGTTAGGTCCAAATCAATATGAATACCAGCAATATAAAAACACAAAAAAGCAGCTACAATAGAATGCTCGTCCTACCTGAACAATGATAAATCCTGAAGGGAAAACAGACCAGACGAGGGAGAGGACTTGCATCCTGCAGGATTGGCATCTGCATCCAGTCTGAACTCTTGTGGAAGACTCTGTTTGCCCACACTTATACACACTTAAATAGTGTAAGGATCCATTTTTATTGTGTGTATTTATGCTAAATAATTTTAATGCTGTGCTACTTTATGGAGTTTCTCTCTATGTTTTCTTGTAGTTTGTAGTCTGCATCATTGCCTTTTATATCCATCTGGATGGGTAACAGTGTAATACATTGTTGCAGTCACTTTAAAAAATGTATGATTAAAGCAACACAAGAGTTACAAACACAGATTTGCAATTTGTATTCCTAATGCTATAGTGTTCCTGTCCCCACTCTTTTTCAGCCCACCTCCACTTGGATTGCTCTAATGTAAAAAAAATAATGGGTAGGGGAGTCAGGGTAGAAAAGAAAGTAGGGACAGGAACACTATGCTGATATCCAGTCCTCATAAAGCATTGGGGACATAATGCGCAATTGTGGTGAGTGCACAATCAGTGCAACTGAACCGCCTCTAGTGGCTGTCTCAAAAACTGCAATGTTTTACAGAAGAGGACAGGGACAATAGACCCTGCAGTCTTACTGCTCAATTCTCTGCCATTTGGAAGTTAAATCAACTTTGTTTATTTTTGTACAGTTCTAGCCACACCTCCCCTGGCTGTCACAGTCTACATGAAAAAGCAGGATTTTAGCTTCAATCAGATTTTAAACTGTTTTAGAAGTTTCTCCTGCTCTGTAAACAGAACCTTAATCACACACAGAAGGCTTATGTAGGGTCTAGAAGGCTATTAATGGAGCAGGCTATAAAAATTCTATATTAAACAGAATGTGAAATACATGAAGTTTAAAGATTAGATCTCTCTTTACAGGAAGTGTTTAGGAAGGCTGTGTGAGTCATATACAGGGAGGTGTGAGTAGGGCTGTATAAACTGTATAAACACAGTGATATAACTCCTAAATGGCAGAGAAGTGAGCAAAGAGACTGCAGGTGCATGATCTGTACACCAAAGTTGTTTGGTGCTTATAGTCCCTTTAAACAAAGATATTGGTACTTTAATTGCAGCAACAGTTCTACCTATGTGATGTCATTGACGGTTCACACTAGTAGGCTCACGTCCCTCATTTACTTGCTTTTTTTCTTCAATAACAAAGTCTTCTAAATTGCTAAATGCATATGTGACTATCTCATAATGATGAAGAAGGTAACATAAGCAGTGTGCAAGAAACAGTGATCTGTGTTTTTCATCAAGATCTTGAATGACTAAAATGTCGATCACAGTTTTTGTTTGTAACTTTAAGTCCCAAGAGTGTGCTACTCTAAAGTGTTTTTATTTAGGTAAGAGAATGTGCACTGGAGACTTGGACGGTGAATTGCAGAGTCCTAGTATATTTCAGAGTTTGGGAAGGCAGAAACAGTTTGTTTGTCCCTCCCCATCTCCTTTTTCCTTATATATCACTGAAGGGAAAACACTAATAAAGCTGAAAACCCTAATCAATCATTCGTTTTAATATATAAATAAGAATTCAAACTTTTGATTAAAGATACAAAATTCTGTGACCAATAAATAGATGTGTTTTGTGTTTGTTATTTACAGTAATTGTTAAATAACAATAGCTATCTGAAACATAGTACTAATGAAGTAAAAATATATTCAACATTCAGAATGCTTTGTAATATTAGATCTCTGATTTAATGGTCTGTTGAGATCTGCAGATCGGGAGTGCTGATTACGATGGATTGCTTCTCACTGGCCAATCTCAGTAAATAATTGAGGACCATATCTTTGGCCTTGTTGGTCTCCATATTTTGTTCTCGTGACAGTTGCATGCTGATCTGCTGAACATTGTTCATCACCAGTTCTGATGCTATAATACGCTCGGGTGGTGAACTGCAGTCCATGATGTACTGTTTGTAAAGTTCAATGACTTTTCGTTCCAAGTACTCATTGAGGATTGAATTGGAGAGTGGCTGTTCATGGTGAATGATGCTTTTGTCCTTCATGCTACCACCCTTCCAACATGGTGCATCTCCTTTTGAAGGCTTTTTGGACAAGACATCGCTCACCACACTTATGGACTCTAGAGTTGGGGGGATTTGTGATGACTCTAAAAATGGCCCTTCACAGAATTCAAAACTACTGTTGCAAGTGTAGTTGCTAGGCATTGAGTTCATAGCCATCACATGGTCTCCAGCTATATGCAAATCATTATAATCTCTGCATATATTTTTACAAGAAGATGGAACCAGATAGGTTTCTTTATTGGTAGATGAAGCATGGAAAATATCTAAAGAGGGTGATGTTTCCCTTTCGAATGAAACATTTTCAGTCTCATGGTGTATCAGATTTCTCAGCATTTTGTTTTGTGTGGATTCCACAGACTGTACCCCAGATGCATGCTTTCCTCCAGAGCAAAAATTATGCAAGAATTTCCTGCTTCTTGAGTTTTGCACAGATGAGTAATTGAGACCGCATACACCTGCTAGCTCATTTGATGACTCAGACTGTTTTCTCTCATGATACATATCATCTTCATACCAGAGTTGGATCTTGTAAAGATGTCCTTCAGACAGCATTTCTACAGAAAAGAGAAAATAACATAAAATACTGACAATACCAAGACATTCATGTGACATAATTTGTTAAGCAACCCCGATATACCCCAGGACTTTGCGATCTAAGAGTGAAATTTGAATACACAGTAATGTAATACAACTACATTTACCGTTACATTAGTTAATTAAAGGGTTAGTCCAATCCTTTTTTGGGGGGACCTATTCTTTGTAAATGGCCTATTGGGTACTATGCAGTAGGTTCCCCCTCAATTGCCCTAAACCCTGCAGAAATAAACATTTTACTTACCAGGAATCCAGCACATGATGAAGCTCCCAGTTTTAACTTCCACGGCTCCATCTGACATCATATGGGCCTAGCGTTGGCCAATCACAGGCTTCTAATATACTAGCTTCTTAATTACAGTTGGTACTATATGTCTCCATTATATTTATCATAGAGAAGCCTGTGATTGGACCTGTGGCAAAACCAACCTCACCACTGGTCATTGGAGAAGACTGATTGCCAGCCTCCTGCCCTGTGACTATGGCCCCATGTTGAAATGCTGGATTTCCCCCTGCAAAGACCCGAAAGCCGGGTCATTCAGTACTTTCCCTATGTGAGCAGTGTTACCCCAGATAGCTATGCCATGGAGCCCATTCGTATAACGAAAGACTATGTGAAAGACTTTGGCTCCATGGCAATTGAACTGTATGTATGTGATCTGAGCGCCATTCAGTAATAATGTGCGCTCAGATCTAAGCTATCTGGGGATATGTTGAATGTACCTGTTTTATGCAATAGCTGCACAGTTATATATTTTATGTATTTTATTGTATCTTGCTACCATGTGGCTAATGGAGTTTTGCCTCTGTCCTTGGAGATAATTGGATTACTTCCCAATTATCTCCAGGATAGAAGACTCTATGGAACTGGTTTTGGGCAGAAAAACCATGCTTCATTTGGTCAAATAGGACTTTCAAGCATGCAGATTCTGAATATGTAATTTTATGAAGATTGGACGTATATTTTTAAAGTTATAGCACATGTATAAAAACTGTATTTTTCCTGCTTGTGATAATTATGTTAACCCATTGTGTACCATAATTATATCACAGGCAGAGGGGAGGATTTTGTGTATAATTGCTGGGAGTGTTTTCTGTAATGTACGTGTGTTATTGGTTGTTCTGTAAAACCCTGTGGGCAGTACTAAGTTTGTGGAATGGGAATAAAAGAGGCTGTATGTGCCAGTACAGTCAGTTCTGCTTGACCTCAAATGAAGTGTCGTCTCGTTATTGGGGGAATTGGATTGTATGCTGATTGCCAGGAGTGTAAGCTGATTGTATGCTTTTCCTGTTCAGCTGCTTATAGAATTCAAATGCTTGAGAGCATTCATATGCTTCTCCGGTTCGGTGGTTGTGGTCTCTGCTGCAGTGCTTGGAGCCCTCAGGAAGCGCTAGGAGCATCCTTCAACGGAGGTTCCCAGTCGGGGTGCCAGGTGATCTGTTACAGGACCATTTTGCCAGCTCAGAGCACATGTGCGCAATCTGACACGACAACGGGAGGGAGGTGGAAGGGAATAAAAATGGGGAGAATAATCTAATAAATAAAAAAAATAGCAATACAAGAAGCGAAGGGAAGCAGGAGGGATGGCCCACATCGAGGGAGGGCAAAGGGAAAGATTAGCATATCAGTCGCCAGCACGCTGTGTGCACTGATAACAGACACAACATGTGAATAGAACTGACATTGGTAGCGCAGGACAGCGTTATGGACTACCAATGTCACATGTGCTGGGGTGCAACTAGCAACTAGTACATAATTAACAATTACTCTGCATGTGCATGTTTTGAAGCTGAAACACATGCTCCTACCTTAATGACCACGTCAGATCACTGAAGTGGTCATGGTGGTTGGAGTAACTCTTCAGTCGCACATCAGCTCAGTAAGGTTTATTTACTTAACTAAACCTTGTGCAGAAAAAAATTAAATAGGCTAAATTAGGAAAAATCTGGAAAAATAAATGTTGGAGAATTTTCACAGTTCAGCTATTTTGAGAAAAAAATGTTAATTATGCACAATTATGTTTTGGGGTTTCTTTTCTCCAGCAAATAAAGCCCAGGTACTATTTATTAGACTTGTGCATTCATACTGAAAGAAATCGCGATCTATCTGTATTTTGGCGATCAGAACTTTATGTTCCTTTCGTGATTCAGATGTCCATCCGTGGCACAAAGAAAAATGACGATGGGAAAAAAAGGTTTGATCCTCAGGAGACAGACACTAAATGATTTTATTCACAGATTGAGTGAAAACAACCAATTGACCAAAAGAGTGAACAAAGAAGAAACAGTAAAAACAAAATCTATGTTTATGTTATGTATTTAATAAATATACATTTTTTTTTACTGCTCCTACTTTTTTACAACTATTAGTCAGTTCTTCTCACGACATGTATACGAAATAGTGTGAAAATGCTCCTACCAGTGTACTGCAAAATATATTCTCAAAGGCACACTATAGGCACAAAAACAACTTTAGCTTAATTAAGCAGTTTTTCTGTATAGCTAATGCTCCTGCAGTATCACTGCTCAATTATCTGCCATAAACTTGAGTATCTCTTTAATATTTAGATAATGTATATATTTTTCCCGAAACAACTGCATGGTTGAAATTCATCCGAACCAAAACGCTACATGGATGAAACCTAAATCGCCTGAAACAAAAACCTTTTCCAGATGGATCAGTTCGGACAAACTGAATTTCTGTGCACAAGTTTAGTGTCTATATATCTAGTGCAAACCATTTAAAATTTCCCCTTAAGGCAAAAAAGACAATTGTATTCTCATTTTTAAAAGGCAAATATGCACTGCCATGTTTAATGCCACACATTTGTGTCCATGCCCTGCTTTACCTTGTATATACCTAACTGAATTTCGGCTGTGTCAAAATCTCCCAGGAAATCTTCATAGTATCTGGAGATTTTCCTTATACTAGCTTCTGCATTTAGGCTGGTACTGTATGTTCCCTACAAACATACCTTATGCATGCTGTCTTCCCCTTACCTAATGGAGCCAGGATGGATTCTGACAATGATACAATGTTAATTTTGAACAGGGAAGCAGGTAAAGCCTCACAGAAAACACAATTTGGAATCACAAAAACAACGGAAATGTAACAGAAGTATTGATTTCCCAGTGTCCCTAGTGTCTCCCAGTGTCCCCATGTCTCCCAGTGTCTGTGTCCCTATATGTCTCTGTGTCTCTAGTGTCTCAGTGTCCCCATTTCTCCCAGTGTCCCTAAATGTATCAGTGTCCCCATGTCTCCCAGTCTCCCCTAGTCTCCCAGTATCTGTGTTCCCATGTCTCTCAGTGTCCCTAGTGTCTTAGTGTCTCCCAGTGTCTGTGTCCCTATGCCTCTGTGTCCCTAGTGTCTCAGTGTCCCCATTTCTCCCAGTGTCCCCAAATGTATCAGTGTCCCCATGTTTCCTAGTGTCTCCATGTCACCCAGTGTCCCCATGTCTGTATCCACAAGCACCCCCATGTCTCCCAGTTTCCCCAAGTGTCTCAGTGCCCCCATGTCTCCCAGTGTCCCAAGGTCTCTCGGTATTCCCATGTCTCACTGTGTCCCCATGTCTCTCAGTGTCCTCTAATATCCTAGTGACATGGGGACACACGGTGACATAGGGACACTGGGAGAAATGGGGACACTGGGAGTCTAGGGCACTGGGCGACATGGGGATACTGACACTGTGATACATAGGAAGACTGGGTGACTTGGGAGACTGACACTGGGTGACAGGGAGACACTGGGAGCAATCCATCTATACAGCAGAATCAAAGTTAAGTAGTTTGTTGGTGATTTTACAGAATTTTCTATCATGTCACTCCTTGTGATTTACATCATGTGATGTCATGCATACATACTTAATTATACAAATGATTTAGGCCAGTATTTTTTTCCAAGAAAGGTGGCAACTAGAGTTGAGCGGACACCTGGATGTTCGGGTTCGCCAGGTTCGGCTCAACTTTGGCAAAAAGTTCAAGTTCAGGACTCAAACTGGACCCAAACTTGACCCCGAACCCCATTGAAGTCAATGGGGACCCGAACGTTTGGGCACTAAAATGGCTCTAAAAAAGTCCTGGAAAGGGCTAGAGGGCTGCAAAAGAAAGTAAAATATATTGCCTAAGTACTAATATACTTACCCAGTGGAAGAAGAAGAATGTTACACTGTATACAATTTTAAATAAAAAGTATACAAACGTAGCCAGGATTCAGCTGTAAGCATTTGCAACACTTACAACAATCAAGTAACACACATTCATATAAAATGTAAGTTACTTGGCCAGTCAATGTAATGACAGGAATGAATAAGTAGATAACTCCCTAATTCCCACGGTATTAGGGAGCTATCTACTAAAAGGCTGAAAGACCTGAATTGGTCTTTCAGCCAAATTTACTAATACTAAGTAAAGATTACTTAGTATTAGTAAATTATGCCCCTACTCGCTATACCGCGAGTAGGGGCATGTCTATTAAACAGTGAGCAGCCTAAAAAAAGGTTCCGCCATCCTGAGCCCCCACCCCTGAACGGCAGATGGGGGCCCTAAAGTAAAATAAGGGGGGGATCTATTGTCCTCCCCCTGGCCCCCACTCATGAGCGGTGGGTGGGGGCCCTAAATTCGAATAAGGGGGACCTACTGTCCTCCCCCCTGGCCCCCACCCGCCCTAAAGTTAAATAATGGGGGGGGAAACCTATTGTCCTCCCCACCGGCCCCCATCCCTGAGGGACGGGTGGGGGCCCTGAATACCAATAAGGGGGGGACCTATTGTCCTCGCCCCTGGCCTCCAACCCGTGAGCGGTGGGTGGGGGCCCTAAATAAAAATTGGGGGGACCTACTGTCCCCCCCCTTGCCCCCACCCCTGAGCAGTGGATGAGGGCCCTAAATACCAATTAGGGGGGAACCTAATGTCCTCCCCCTGGCCCCCACCCCTGAGCGGTGGGTGGGGGCCCTAAATTAGAATAAGGGAGGACCTAATGTCCTCCCCCCTGGCCCCTCCCCCCCGAGTGGTGGGTGGGGGCCCTAAATACCATTAGGGGGGGACCTATTGTCCTCCCCCCCTGGCCCCCATTCCTGAGCGGCTGTTGGGGGCCCTAAATCCCTAGTCACCTCCCTCCCCCCAAAAATTAACCCCTACCTACCCCCCTCACCCTAAAATTAATAAGGGGGCACCTTTAACTAAGTACCTGTAAAAATAAAATAAAACTCACCATTTGATGTTTTCTTTCTTCTAAAATCTTATTTTTTTCAGCCCCAAAAATGCCAAATAAAAATCCATAATAACCAACGTACTTTAAAAAAAAAAAACGAGTGCAAAGAAAAGAATCCATCTTCACCCATGGAGGGCTCCGCGCAGACTGAGCTCTGTAGGGCTGGGGAAGGCTTGTACACCCTGTTCCAAATTATTATGCAAATTATCTTCTTCTCATTTACCTAAATAATTTATGTAAATAGCAGTCAGCACAATTCTCATGTTAGCAACTATTAAGAGTACAATTCAAATTTTATTGAACAAACCTCCTAATGATAACAGTATTTTTTTTAAACATAAAAAATGTATAATGCACTGTTCCAAATTATTATGCACAGTAGGTTTCAAAACACTTTATAGGTTGTAAAGAACTGAAAATTGTCATTTGTTGTGTTTGCAACATATTTACTGAAATCAAAAGCTATTTCAATCAAACTTATAACAACATTTTAACTTTTTAAACATTTTAACAGGTCACGTTACATTTTAACATAGGACCCCTTATTTGATAGCAGCTTCACAAGTCTTGCATCCATTGAATTTGTGAGTTTTTGGGTAGTTTCTGCTTGAATTTGTTTGCAAGATGTCAGAATAGCCTCTCAGAACTGCTGTCTGGATGTAAACTGCCTCCCACCCTCATAGAGTTTTTGCTTGAGGATGCTCCAAAGCTTCTCAATAGGACAATAAGAGGTCAGAGGAGGATGGAGGCCACACCACGACTTTCTCTCCTTTTATCCCCATAGCAGCCATTGATGTAGAGGTATTCTTTGCAGCATAAGATGGTGCATTGTTATGCATGAAGATGATTTTATTACGGAAAGCATAGTTCTTCCTTCTGTACCAGGAAAGAAAGTGGTCAGTCAGAAAGTCCACATACTTTGCAGAGGTCATCTTTACACCTTCGGGGACCCTAAAGGGGCAGACCAGCTCTCTTCCCATGATTCCGGCCAAAAACATGACTCCACCACCGCCTTGCTGACGTTGCAGCCTTGTTGGTACAGGGTGGCTGTCCACCAACCATCCACTACTCCATCCATCTGGACCATCCAGGGTTGCACGGCACTCATCAGTGAACAGGACTGTTTGAAAATTAGTCTTCATGTATTTTTCTGCCCAATGCAGCAGTTTCTGCTTGTGAGCATTGGTTAGTGGTGGCCGAACAGAAGGTTTATGCACAGTTGCAAGACTCTGGAGGACTCTACACCTTGATGTCCAAGGAATTTCAGAGGCACCAGCAGCTTCAAATATCTGTTTGCTGCTATGTAATGGTATTTTAGCAGCTGCTCTCTTGATCCGATGCATGGATCTGGCAGAAATCTTCCTCAATGTGCCTTTATCTGCATGAACCTGTCTATGCTCTGAATCAGCTACAAATCTCTTAATAGTGCGACGATCAGGCTTATGTTTTCGTGAAATACCTAATGTTTTCATACCTCATCCAAGGCATTGAACTATTTCACTCTTTTCAGCAGCAGAGAGATGCTTTTTCTTCCCCATATTGCATGAAAATGGATCTCTGCTTATAATGTGGAACACCCTCCTTTAGTAGTTTTTCCTTAAATTGGGCTCACCTGGCAATATAATTGTCACAGGTGTCCGAGATTGTTTTCAGTGATCAAAAGAGCCCTGAGACACAATGCCATCCATGAGTTAAACTGAAAAACAAAATATTTAATCTTTGTGACACTTAAATAGATTTTGCATAATAATTTGGAACAGAGTGTAAAGCCTTGCCCCGGCCTGCAATTAGGCTCAGAGCACTCTGATTAATGGGTTTAAGAATCAGGTGACACTGTCATCTGCAATTAGGCTCAGAGCACTCTGATTAATGGGTTTAAGTCATCCAATCAGAGTGCTGTGACAGGTAAATGTAGAGACTTACCTGTCAGTCTCTTCATTTACCTGTCAGAGCACTCTGATTGGATGGCTTAAACCCCCCAATCAGAGTGCTCTGAGCCTAATTGCAGGACGGGGCAAAGCTTTATAAGCCTTCCCTCGCCCTGCAGAGCTCAGTCTGTGCGGAGCCCTCCATGGGTGAAGATGTATTATTTTTTTTGCGCTCGGATTTTTTTTTTTTAAGTGCGTTGGTTATTATGGATTTTTATTTGGCCCTTTTTGGGGCTAAAAAAAGAAGATTTTAGAAGAAAGAAAACATCAAATGGTAAGTTTTATTTTATTTTTACAGGTACTTAGTTAAAGGTCCCCCCCTGATTATTTTTAGGGTAGGTAGGGGTTAATTTTTTTTGGTGGGTGTCTATTGGTTTGGGGACCCCTAGTCCCCTGGGTGGGGGGATTAAATGTTTATTTAGGGCCCCCACCCACGCTCAGGGGTTGGGGCCCGGGGGGAGGATAATAGGTCCCCCCCTATTGGTATTTAGGGCCTCCACCCACCGCTCAGGGGTGGAGGCCAGGGGGAGGACATTAGGTCCCCCCTTATTCTAATTTAGTGTCCCCACCCACCGCTCGGGGTGGGTGCCAGGGGGGAGGACATTAGGTCCCACCCAATTGCTATTTAGGGCCCCCACCCATCGCTCAGGGGTGGGGGCCAGAGGGAGGACATTAGGTCCCCCCAATGTTTATTTAGGCATAGTGTCTAGTGGCAACCCTAACTACTCTTCACATACTCTTGCTTAAAGGAACACTATAGGAACACAATCATATATTTCTGACCCTATTATGTTAAAACCACCATCTAGCCCCCCTGACACCCTCTCGCCTCACTAAATATGGTAAAATCTTACTTGTATTCAAGTCTGCAGCTGCTGGCTCTGCCCCTGTCTGCCTCTGAACTGACTCTGTCTACTGACATCAGAAGTGGTGGCCAATCTGAGCCAATTACAATGCTTCCCCATAGGATTGGCTGAGACTGTCAAGGAGGCAGATTAGGGGCAGAGCCAGCACAAGTCAAACATAGCCCTGGCCAAACATCATCTCCTCATAGAGATGAATTGAATCAATGCATCTCTACGAGGAAAGTTCAGTGTCTGCATGCAGAGAGTAGAGACACTGAATGGCAGTGCTGCACTCTAGGCAGTACTGCCACAGGAAGCACCACCTGTCTTTTTAATGCCATTTGATAAAGCCCTGTGTGGTGAAACGCGTTTTGGCTATTATTAGTTTGTTTTATATACTGATATATTATATTTTAATAAAGGAATACCGGCTTTTATTTTTGCCTATATATACTTTTTATTCCATTCTTTTTAATTTGAATTACCTGGTCACCGACTTGGATTGAAGTACGTTACTTCCCAAGAATCCTAAGGTGGGGATTGTACCACCTGCACCACCATATTGAGCAGTAGTTCCTGCTCATATACATGTGAGTATTCTACCATTTTATTTGTTTTTAAAATAATTCAGTGAGCACTATATACGTCTCCCATCTTTCCACATATCGAGGAATTACTCAGGACTCCATCACCTATATCCGACCAGTGGGGGATTGACGCCACTGAATGTTAAAGATACTTGAGCAAGTTTTTTTGCTCATGCTAAGGTGAGTTCTTTACATACACACAGACTTACACCTGAGAATTTGTCAACATCCTACACTATTGGATTTCTTTTTATCTCTTTTGTGTATCCACATTTTGACAAGCGAATCAAGACATCTTCAACATAAGAAGATTCAGATATTCATTTGGACTTTATATTCATCTAAGAATAATACAGGTTTATCTATTATTTGGGACTTTTTTATCATATTTATTTATTCCATTTATTTCACCTCTTTGTCCCTTTAGCGCGACCTATATACCCATTTTTGTCTTTACTGCAAAAAAGCCTGAAGGGAATGATTCTACTCACCAGAACAAATACAATAAGCTTTAGTTGTTCTGGTGATTATAGTGTCCCCTTAAGTATGGAAGCTTAAGAGGGATGTATGGGAACAAAACTTGTGTGGACTTGCTGACAATAAAATGAGTTAAGGTAATGCATCATCTTTAGCAGAGGCTTCCTTCTGGGACGACAGCCACGCAGACCAATTTTATGCAATATGCGGTGTATGGTCTGAGCACTGACAGGCTGAACCCCCATCCCTTCAACCTCTGCAGCAATGCTGGCAGCACTCATACGTCTATTTCCCAAAGACAACCTCTGGATATGACGCTGAGCACATGCACTAAACTTCTTTGGTCAATCATGGCGAGGCCTGTTCCGAGTGGAACCTATCCTGTGAAACTGCTGTATGGTCTTGCCCACCGTGCTGCAGCTCACTTTCAGGGTCTTGACAATCTTATTATAGCCTAGGCCATCTTTATGTAGAGCAACAATTCTTTTTTTTAGATCCTCAGAGAGTTCTTTGCCATGAGGTGCCATGTTGAACTTCCAGTGACCAGTATAAGAGAGTGTGAGAGCGATATCACCAAATTTAACACACATGCTCCCCATTTTCACCTAAGACCTTGTAACACTAACGAGTCACATGACACCGGGGAGGGAAAATGGCTAATTGGGCCCAAATTGGACATTTCCACTTAGGAGTGTGCTCACTTTTGTTGCCAACGATTTAAACATTAATTGCTGTGTGTCGAGTTATTTTGAGGGGACAGCAAATTTACACTGTTATACAGGCTAAACACTTACTACTTTACATTGTAGCAGGGTGTCATTTCTTCAGTGTTGTCACATGAAAAGATATAATAAAATATTTACAAAAATGTGAGAGGTGTACTCACTTTTGTGAGATACTGTATGTACACACTGGATCCTCTACACACACACATCAGATTCCCTGTACACTGTAATCACACACACACTGGAATCCACACACTCAACAGCCACTGTATACACACTGGATTCCCTTTACCCACACAAATACACTACAGCCACTGTACACACACACACTGGATCCCCTGCAAACTCAATGGTTTACTTATACATTCACACATGGACATGCTACAGCCATTTGCACACATAAAACCTGGATGTCATACACACACATACTTGATTCCCTATTTGCACGTGCACACACAAACACACACACATGCACTCACCCACATGCACTCACACACTGCAGCCACACACACTCGCTTTATCCCCTATACACATCTACGCTGCAGACTCTATAAAAAAGCATTTAGACTGGTTTGTCCCTTTAAGTGTGCATGCACTTAAATCTTATGTTTTGTCAAATAACTGTGGTTTAACATGGTCTACCAAATGTTGAATTTCAATTCTTCTTCAAAAAAGGGAAATGGTTCTTTTTGCCACCTGAAGAGTTTTACATTATACATATATGTATGCATACCACCCAAAAAAGGAAATGGTGTTACGCAATGTTTCAGAATATTACACAACAATAATGTGAGAAAGCTTATCAGTCAGTGATTATCAATAAGAAAAGTGTCATAATGAAATTGTGAAAATATATTACAGGCATTCAAGACAGAACAGTTGTCATAAGCATTGCAAACAGGCTCACAGTAAGAGATCTTAAATAGATCTAATATGCCGAATAGATATAAGAAATAGTCCTGCATTAGTGTTTAACTATGACATTGACAAGTTATTTTGTCTATAAAAATAGTCTAACATTTAGAAAAAACCTGGGATGGGTTATTGTTAAATAACCATAAAATAGTGATTGTATTTAGATTCATTTTTAGTTATACCTAAAAAAATAACCAAGAAGTTACACATGTTGAAAATGTATATTAAATTCTGCTAGAACCACAAAGTGTTATTTAAAAATGCTACTGTAGTTAAAGTGGCTTTGTCCCATCCAACTTACCTTTCCCCTATTGTTTCCTCTTCCTCTTTCAGAATATGTAATTCTTTATTCATTTATTATCTATTTCTATTTAAAACAAAAAGTAGGTTCCACTTTGTCTTATGTATTTTCTCTACGCTTGACAAGTCTCAACAATGGGTGGGGCTTAAAGCGGCACTGTCACCATTTGGGGACTTTGCTTGATTTGCAAAGACAGTGATAATTGTGCTCTAGGGGGCTGGTGGCTGGGGGACTGCTAAATGTGAGATTTACTTACCTGACCTGTACCTCTCAGACTTGGCCATCTTGTTCTATTATTATTATTATTTTTGCTATTTATATAGCGCCAAAAGATTCCGTAGCGCTTTACAATATTATGAGAGGGGGGATTTAACTATAAATAGGAAAATTACAAGAAAACTTACAGGAACGATAGGTTGAAAAGGATCCTGCTCAAACGAACTTACAGTCTATGGGAGGTGGGGTATAAAACACATTAGGACAGGAAATAGCAATCAAATAAGGTGGGAGTGAAGCAGAGCTGAAGGAGAGAGTAGAGTGCTGCCCTTTAGGAGAGAGCAAGAGACAGGTATGTAACGAAGAGGATAATCTGGTAGGCCATAAGCTTTCCTAAAGAGATGGGTTTTAAGGCACTTATTAATCGATTGAAGACTAAGGGAGAGTCTGATGGCGGTAGGCAAGCTATTCTAGCGGGTCCTATTCACACTCTCATGTGCCCCTTAGTGGGTGGACGCCCATACTTTCCAGATGGGCCTGCCCATTTAGAGGCATCATCAGTGATGTGATTTGTGTCACTGGGGATGCTTCCTTTTAAGGCCCGCCCCATCCCAATTCAAGCTGGTGCTAAGTTGGGAGGTATGATGCTACATGAGTCTACACTTTCTGCCTCCTGCATACTATATTGGCTCTAGAAAGACAGCTGTGCATTATGTTATGAATGAGATTTATAAAGCAGAAAGCTGTAAGTTGAGCTATAACTTTATAATCCTCCTGTGCCCATACAGAGTGCTTGGGATAAGCTCAGCAGCACCACAGAAAGTTATGTAAGCAACATGATTGAATCGTTTACTGAATTAGGGAAGGCTAAGGTTAGATATCGCACTAGGGACCAGTTGACACATTGTGGCCTAGTTTTCTACAAAAGACATTGTCTGGAGTGAGCATGGCCTCAGCTTGCAAGACTAGAAAAGAAACTACAAGTATAACAATTACTATTTCTGTAGTTTTGGTACACAGCACTACCTAGCCAAGGATATACTGATATGGTCTGCCACCTGTAGGCCTTACAGCAGGCCCGGACTGGCCATTGGGCAAACTGGGCAAATGCCCGGTTGGCCGCGATGGCCATGTGCCGAGGCCAACAGGAAAGATCAAGAGATCTCCCCTGCCGGCCCATTCTACGCAGCACCGGCCCCAAGATGGAGTTCTGTCCCATCATGGCCTGGAGGGGAGATTGGGCAGTGAACCGGTCACCCTCCGTGCATGCCGAGCGAACTCTGAGATGATCAGAGCATTGCCATGATAACCCGCGGCAACGCTCTGACAAAACAGTGCTCATGAGAGGGAAAGAGACGTGGTCTGCGGGTTACAGACTAAATTACCAGCCAGCTGGACCACCAGGGATCTGTGTGCGGCATGGCCCCCTCTCACTGGACCACCAGGTCTCTGCATGCTCCCTCTCCCCCCTGCAAAGTTATAAAAGGGAGTAAATGGGATTTTTTATTTTTATTATTAAAAAGGGACACTATAGTCACCAAAAAAACTTTAGCTTAATGTTTTGGTGTATAGATCATGCCCATGCAGTCTCACTGCTCAATTCTCTGCCATTTAGGAGTTAAATCACTTTGTTTATGAACCCTAGTCACACCTCCCTGCATATGACTTCCACAGCCTACCTAAACACTTCCTGTAAAGAGTCATCTAATGTTTATCCTTCCTTTATTGTAAGTTCTGTTTAATTTAGATTTCCATATCCCCTGCTATGTCAATAGCTTGCTAGACCCTGCAAGAGCCTCTTGTATGTGATTAAAGTTCAATTTACAGAGTGAGAGATACAATTGTTTAAGGTAAATTATATCTGATTGAAAGTGAAACCATTTTATTTCATGCAGGATGTGGCAATCAGAGCCAGGGAGGTGTGGCAATGGCTGCATAAACAGAAACAAAGTGATTTAACTCCTAAATGGCGGTGCATTGAGCAGTGAAACCTAAGACACATGATCTATACACTAAAACTGCTGCATTAAGCTAAAGTTGTTTACGTTACTATAGTGTCCCTTTAAAGTATTAATTTAAGCCCCTATCCAACCCCTATATGCACACACCCTCACATACAGACTACACACACTGCACTAGCACAAAAACATACTGCTCCCCTGCACTAACACACAAACATACGGCTACCCTGCACTAACATACAAACACACTACACAAACAGCACCCCAGTACTAACACACAAACACACTGCACCCCCTGCACTAACACACTACACACTGCACCCCCTGCACAAACACACAAACATACTGCTCCCCTGCACTAATACACAAACACACCACACACACTGCACTAACACAATACACACACTGCACCCCTGCACTAACACACAAACATACTTCTACCCTGCACTAACACACTACACACACATCACCCCCTGTGATAGCACACAAACACTCTACACACACTGCACCCCCTGCACTAACACACAAACATACTGCTCCCCTGCACTAAAACAAAAAAAAAACACTACACATTCAGCACCCCCTGTACTAATACACACACATACTGCACCCCCTGCACTAACACACAAACACATTACACACACTGCACCGCCTGTACTTACACACAAACACACCACACCCCCTGCACTAACACACAAACACACTACACACACTGCACCCCCTGCACTAAAACACAAACATACTGCTCCCCTGCACTAACACACAAATATACTGCTCCCCTGCACTAACATACAAACACACTACACACACACTCTATACCCCTATATACAGACTACACCTTCTGCACTTACACACAAAAACACTGCACAGACGCTACACCCCTCTATAAATATTACACACACTCTATATCCCTGTATGCATATTACACCCCCTGCACTTACACAAACACACTACACCCACTCTTATACCCCTTATATACACACTATACCCCTGGCACTCACATACACACAGTAAACACATTTTATACCTCCTAAACATACACTACACTCCCTGCACTCACATACTTTATACCCCTATAAGCACACACATTACACCCCCTGTGTGCACACACACTAATTTATATCCCCTATAAATACACATTCTACACCCCCTGGGCATACATTACCGCACCTATACACATGTGCTCTGTAGCCCCTATATGCATACACACACTAGAGCCCCTAGATACACTCACAAACACACAGTATAGTCCTTACATGCACTGGACTACATCCCCTAGGCCCACACACTCCACAGGCCCTATAAACACATACACACACACATACACACACACACACACACAGTGGCGTACACACAAACCATGGGGCCCCGGTGTGAAAATGATCTGTGGGCCCCCCTCCCTCCCTATTCCCCCCCGACAGACACACACACATACATAAGACACACACACATACATAAGACACACACACATACACATATATATACATACAGTCCGACACACACAGACATACATACAGACCGACACACAGACAGGCACACAAACACATACATAAAGACAGACAGGCACACATACATACAGACACACACACACACACAGACAGGCACACATACAGACAGACACACACACACAAGACACACATACATATAAAGACACATACATAAAAAAACAGACAGGCACGCATAATCACAGGCAGACACACACACATACAAACATACAGACAGACACACACACACACACAAGATGCACATACATACAAACAGACAAGCACACACACATACAGGCAGACACACACAAGACATACATACAACGACACATACATAAAAAAACAGACAGGCACACATACACACAGGCAGACACATACACACAGACAGACACACACACATACAAACATACAGACAGACACACACACACACAAGACACACATGCATACATACAAACAGACAAGCACACACACATACAGGCAGACACACAAACATACATACACAGATATGCACACACACACACATACACAAATAGGCAGACACACACACACAGACAGACACACATACAGACAAAATGTTTCAGTTACCCTCCTGTTTCCTACCTATTACTTTAAGGTGCAGAAAGGTGACTTTCCCAGGGGTCCAGTGGTGGCTCAGGTGGATGGGAGTCAGAGTTCCCACTCTGACTCCATCCTCCTTCCTCCCACGCGGTCTGTGTTAGCTTGGAGGAGTGACGTACGGTCACTTCCTCCCAGCTCTGTGTGATGTCATCACAGGGGGCCCAGTCAAGCTGTTAAAGTGCCCAGCGTTTACCGGGCCCCCTGACAATCCACATCCTGACAGCATGGGCCACCCGATGGACCCCTTGGACGGCGGCCCGAGCGTTTTGCCGCGCGGGGGCTGGGGCCGCAGAAGATGATGGCGGCGGATACCCGGTAACAGTGGTCCGCAGGGCGGGCGGGCCCCTTGGAGTAAAAAAACGCACACACACTACAGCCCCTAGCCACAGGTAGTACGCCACAAACAGCACAAATAGTCATTTGGTGGTGGTGGGGGAGGTGGGTGCATGTCAATGGTGGTGACATTACATATCCCCTTTATGGCCCCGCCCCTTCTAGTGGGCTGCTCTGCCTTTAATGGCCCGGGCTGAATTTTTGTCCCAGTCCGGCCCTGCCTTACAGCATCTGATTTACACTAAAAGTAAGCAAGTAATCACTACTAAATATTGCCCCCAGTAGCAGTTACTGCTTATTATATGATATATTTCCAGATTTGCTGCTATAGTTTATCTTGGATTGCCAAAAACACAAGATCATCGAGCAACAAATGGCAGCGCTCCAAAATGCTACTCGACAAATGAGAGGTTCACAGCCCATTAAAGGTAAGATTGTGCTTAAAGGACAATTGTCAACTTAAAACTATTTTTAATATAATAATCATTTCAACAAGCTATGAAAGGAAATTTATATTTTTAAATTAAAGTATATGTAAAAAATGAGAACCTTTCCCCTATGACAGGGTCCTTCAGCCATGTACATAAACCTTGGGTCAGACACTGTTTGAAAACCAGCAGTCAGTCTTTGTGCTATTCCGTGTTTCTGTGTGGGATCTGGTTGAAGGATCCTGTTATATACTATAGATAACATAAAATTCCCAGATGGTGACAGTGCGATTTAATTCACTGCAGATGTAGATACTTGTTACATTTCTTGTATTGCCATTTCCTTATCTCAAGTCAAGCGGCTGTTACTTCCTATTAGCTGGCTGTCAAACAGAAAGGAGCCTGGTAGCGCTGTTTAAATGCCACTCGCTTTACCGGGTCCCTGCTGACACACCGCACCGGCCTGCACACTAAGGAGGCCAATTAAGTGTGTCAGAAGGGACCCAGTTGAGTGCTGTGGCACTTAAACAGCGGAACCAGGCCCCTTTTTGTTTGGCAGCTGACTGGGAGAAAGTAACAGCCGCGAGTCATTTTCTCCCACAGAGAGATCAGAGCCACGCGGGAAGGGGAAGACAGTGAGGAAGGGGCCAGGCCGAGAGTGCCAGAGCCTAACTCCTAACTGCCTCAGCCTGCCACTGAACACCAGGGAAATTACCCTCCAGAAAAAGGTAAGAACCTGGTGGTGGCTAAGTGTAAATATAGCATGTGTGTGTGTCAGAATGTCTGTGTGTGTAATAATATATATGTGTGTGCATGTCTGTGTGTGTGTCAGTATATGTGTCTGTCTGTGTCTGTCTATCTATCTGTTGGTGTGTGTGTGTATGTCTGTCTGTTGCTGTGTGTGTCAGTATGCCTGTCAGTGTGTGTGTCAGTATATGTGTCTGTCAGTGTATGTGTCTGTATGTCTGTCAGAGTGTGTCTGTGTCAGTATGTCTGTTGGTGTGTGTATCAGGCCACCCTTGCGATAAGAGGAACAAAAAATGGCAAGCACCATAACCACTACAGGGTGTAGCGCATTGGCTGAGAGCATCAGCTGATTGGGAAAATGAGTCTGGCAGTGGAATAGGCATGGGTTCCCCATAAGGTCAAACCTTATTCATCTGATGCAGTCTCTCTACTTCCATTAAAATGACAGAGAAAGGCAGCGCTGCCACGAACCAACTTGAGAACACAATACTGCTGCCAGCAAATAACAAGATTTTACATTTGGCCAGGCCTGACAGTATTTTTTCTAGTCACTAAATCAGTGACTTTTTCGAGATATCAGAGATATGTGACAAACCTGGAGTAAAATCTCTTTACTGAAACACGAGAACACTAGAAGAAACAGCACAAAATGGGAAATATTAATATATGGAAGAAGGGTATATTCCACTAGGATTATATATATATATTTTCCAACTTTTATTTTATGGAATTATATGATTTCAAGAAACAGTATATGTTTCTAATTGGCAATTCAGGATATTTACACAATAGATTATTTCCGTGCTTCCTCTTTGAATTTCCCATGCATTCTGTTTGGTGAGTTTGCATGTAAGTATGGCAAGCCACAACAAAGACAAGACAGAGACAGTTATTTACAAATGTGGAAGTAGTCAGTAAAACTGTGCCACCCTCTGGCTAGAATGTGGGAAATCACTGCAAGGAAAGATGTTTAAAAATATTACAAGCAACATTTAGAATACTTTTTGATTTTACAAAATAAATTTCAAACTGAAGACACTTTGTTATTCTGAGGGTGGAAGGGGTGAGTGAGTCGTTGATTGCCACTCACTTTTTCTTGAGAAAAAGAAGTGACCATCCTTCAGTGTGGAAAAAAAGTTGCCCTGTCAGTTTTAACTGTCTGCAGAGGTAGCAGGCGGACTTACACCGCATGACTCAGCCAGGCAGGGCAAAACCACTACAAGGCGTCTGAAAGTATTACAAACACCATCGCGTTTTAGAATACTATTTTTCTAGAAAGAGTTAAAGAAAAAAATTCGACCAGACTGGTGTAGACATGCTTCACTTGTGAAGTAAACTGCCACATACTGTATATTACTAAGGGGACCATTGCTGAGGTAAGGGTTAATGCAATACTCAGAGAAAAACTAAATACAAGCAATCCCTGTTGTGCTGCTGACACCTCCCTCTGCAGCTCCAAGCAGGGTCAAATAATCCCCAAAAATAGAAAAAATGCAAATGTGCACTCCAAGTGCTACAAAAAGATTTATTTACCAAGACATAAAGTACAAATGTTTCAGGTTATTCCCTTTATCAATACCTGTCCTTTATGTCCTTGTAAATAAATCTTTTTGTAGCACCCTCAATTTTTCTATGTTTGTGTATTACTAAGGGGAAGAAGCTTTCAATGAAACGCACAAGCAGTGACACTGAAGCACACTGCAAAAAAACAAAACAAAACATGTCTCGAAAAAAAAATCTCACACGTCAGTAAAACAATTCTAAATTATTGAATTAAAGTTAGTGTAAGTGGCACCTTTCAGATGTAAGATAACCCAATACTCTTCCCCAACTCTAAGTGTGTATCATTTTTACAGATTAAAGTGTTATTTATTATTAGAGTTGAGCGGACACCTGGATGTTCGGGTCCGGCGGGTTCGGCCGAACTTTGAAAAAAAGTCTGGGTTCGGGATCGAACTTGACCCCGAACCTGAACCCCATTGAAGTCAATGGGGACCCAAACTTTTGAGCACAAAAATGCCTCTAAAATACTCCTGGAAAGGGCTAGAGGGCTGCAAACGAAGTAAAATGTGGGTAAGAGTAGGACAAGTGCCCTGCAAACAAATGTCGATAGGGAAATAACTTAAAATAACATAAAAATTTAAAATAAAGCTGAGCCATAAAATAGCACTAGATGGAATCTTTGATTTTAGCTTTGGAAGAACATAAATCAAAATCTAAAGCATGGCTGTCAGGAGGATCACCATAATTATCCATTTGAGAGTGGGTTGGAGTGCAGGGTATTCTCTTTCATTGTTCAAACTGAGCTCAACTCCTGATGCATGGAGAAAAGGCCTTCACAAGCCTCTGCTAATGTGTACCTAGTTTATACTAAGTGACCCATAGGTTAAGGAGGCGGTGACCGTGGCGGTGTAGGTGGAAGCAGCGGTGGAGGAGGAGGAGGTAGCCAACACTGTTTTTTATATATATATATATTTTAATTGGGGTAACCCCCAAAATATTGGGACATATAAAAAAAGAAACATTTGCGGTCTGCGGTGCATTTCTTGCAGTCCTGATGCATGGAGAAATGCTCAACTCCTGATGCATGGAGAAAAGGCCTTCACAAGCCTCTGCTATTGTGTACATAGTTTATACTAAGTGACCCATAGGTTGAGGAGGCGGTGACCGTGGCGGTGTAGGTGGAAGCGGCGGTGGAGGAGGTAGCCAACACTGTTTTTTATATATATATATATATATATTTTTTTTTTTTTTTTTAATTGGGGTAGCCCCCAAAATATTGGGACATATAAAAAAAGATGGACTAAGGTTTAGACTTGGCAAATCGATCGTAGATAGACTAAGATTCAGACTTAGCAAATCGATCAAGATATATGTCCGTTTATACTAGACAGACTTTGGTTTAGATTCAGCAAGTGATCGAGATACAACAATTGACATAGTACAACATTTTGTAACATTAATTTGTATCCAGCTGGTATTTTCTGTCAAATGTCCAATTATGGCTACACAGTTACAATACATCCCACACTAACTTGGATTTCTTGCTATCAAGCACGATCACCTGTCTGTCTATTTTAATTTTAGTTATTATTTTCATTTGTTTTTTCCTACAAATTTTATTTTTTTGTGGGAAACTGAGGTTTCTATAATCAATATTTATTTATTTGTTTTCTTTTTTCATATTTCATTATCTTTTTATAGACTTCCTATTAAAAGCTATGTTTTAAATATATTAGCAACATCTCTTTAGGGCAGTGCCTCTCTCTTTTTCATTATATAAAAAAAGACAACTCTGTTCCGCAGAGTAGCTGTTGACATTATAGTTGCGCAGGCACTTTGTTGATTCTAGAGAACCTCGGGCCAATCGCACATCCCCGTGACGGCGACTTTGCATTCGGATGTCATCCATATCAACTTTCGATGCCAGTTTCTGCGCCTACCATGGTGACCATGGGTAATGGGGAATCAGGGTTCCATTCCGTACAGGGACCCTGAGAAATGGCTACCACATGCAAGGAAGGCAGCAGGCGCACAAATGACCCACTACTGACGCGGGAAGGTAGTGACAACAAATAACTATACAGGACTCTTTAGAGGAACTGTAATTGTAATGAGTCCACTTGAAATCCTTTAACTCTGATCAATTGGAGGGAAGTCTGGTGCAGAGCCACTGACTCGTGCGTGTTGCATCTGAAACTCTACTATCGCATGCTGCTGCTCGCACAGTCTCATGAGGCGATGAGTGGGAAGGCAGAAGTTATGCTGCAGCGCAGACAGGTGAGCAGCAGCAGGGTGAGAATGCCAAAAGAGTGCACAGATGGCCCGCACTTTCTGCAGTAGCTCTGATATATCTGGGTATACACCGTGGCATCACAAGGGCCACCCAGAACTGGCTCAACTCCCATCAAGCCAAGTTCCCAGAGGAGATCACCCAGCTTGTCATGCAAGAGCACTTTTTCAATGTGCTCCCCAACGAGAAGGCGACGACGCATTCGTATGTCAATCCATATCAACTTTCAATGCCATTGACTGTGCTTACCATGGTGACCACGGGTAACGGGGAATCAGGGTTCCATTCCGTACAGGGACTCTAAGAAATGGCTACCACATGCAAGGAAGGCAGCAGGCGCGCAAATGACCCACTCCCGACGCGGGAAGGTAGTGACGACAAATAACAATACAAGACTCTTTAGAGGAACTGTAATTGTAATGAGTCCACTTGAAATCCTTTAACTCTGATCAATTGGAGGGAAGTCTGGTGCATAGCCACTGACCTGTGCGTGCTGCAGCTGAAACTCCACTATCGCCTGCTGCTGCTCAAACAGTCTCTCCAGCATGTGCAAGGTGGAGTTCCACCTTGTGGGCACGTCGCATATGAGGCAGTGAGCGGGAAGACCAAACTTACGCTGCAGCGCGACAGGCGAGCAGCAGCAGGGTGAGAACGCTGAAAGCGTGCACAGCCACTACAGTGAATGTCACATCCTGTTCCAAGTTGCGGATCAGTCTGGTGATGGCTTCTGGTATCCAGTACTCTTTTTACTGAAGCTGCATCAGGGTCCTGGTATGTGACTCAACACCAGGGGGCGTGCGGTTACCCTGCACCAGACCCTGCTAATCCATTCCACACTGTGACTCTTAACTTCAACATCAGGCATACTGGGTCCCGGTCATCCGACCGCCACCCAGACAGTGTCTGGGTCCCGGTCACCAGACTGCCCACCTGACTGTGAATCTACGAATGGATCGTTAAATCTGGTACGATTGGTTCGCTCAACTCTATTATGGATCCTTTGATCGCTACATGTATAACTTGGATAACTGGTAATTCTCGAGCTAATACATGCCGACGAGCGCTAGAGGATGGCCTCTCCGCTTTTGCACCCTGCTCCCTCTTATACTGTGCTGTGTGCCTCTGTGCGACCAGCGCCTCTTCCTCCAAACTGCACACGTCACTCGCATGACCTTGATTCCATGTGGGGTCTAGGACTTCATCATCCTCCACATCATCTTCCACCCACTCCTCAACCCTTCCCTCCTTGCCGGTATGCACACTGCAGAAAGCCACAGCAGTTGGCACCTGTGTTTTCCCAGCATGTAAAGTCTGCAAAGGACATATGGAAATTGTTTTATAATTGTATCCAGGCAACAGTTTTCCCTAGAAACTGACCTCTCAGTTTGACTTGTGAGGGTATTGCCCCAGATACAATATTGTTTAAGTACCTCTTAGCTATTGATAACTGGTTTAACCCCTTCAGGACGGAGTCAATAGTGCACGTTCTGATCAAAACAAAACGTAAACAAAAACTGGAATTTGTGCTATATATCTGTTCAACCTCCTGTCTTGCCATAAAATTCACCGCAGTCACATTAAGTGCTCCCACACTTATTATATATCATTTTGTTCAGGAGAAACAGGGCTTTAATTTATTATGAATAAACTTTTAAAAAATGTGAGAAAATAAGATTTTTTTTAAAATTTGTATTTCTGTCTGACATTTTAGCTGTGAATTTCATAATACTGTTAGATTTTACTGCAAAAAAATGCACATATTTGTAATCGGCGATGTCTCACGAGTACAACAGTACCCCCCATTAACAGGTTTTATGGTGTTTTGGAAAGTCACAGGGTCAAATATAGAACGTTCCATTTTCAAATTGAAATTTGCCAGATTAGTAATGTTACCTTTGAGACGGTGTGGTAGCCCAGGAATGAGAATTACCCCCATAATGGCATACCATTTCAAAAAGTAGACAACCCAAGGTATTGAAAGAGGGGTATGTCTAGTCTTTTTTAGTAGCCACGTAGTCACAAACACTGGCCAAAGTTAGCGTTCATATTTGTTTTTGTGTGAAAAAAGCAAAAAACTAATATTTGGTCAGTGTTTCTGACTAAGTGGATACTAAGAAAGACTGGACATACCCCAATTGCAATACCTTGGGTTGTCTACTTTTGCAAATGGTATGCCATCATGGGGGTAATTCTCATTTCTGGGCTACCATACGCTCTCAAAGGCAACATAACCAATCTGGCAAATTTCAATGTCAAGAAAAATTAAATTCAAGCCTTATATGTGACTAACTTTCCAAAACACCATAAAACCTGTACATGGGGGGTACTGTTATTCTCAGGAGACTTCACTAAACACAAATATTAGTGTTTTAAAACAGTAAAACATATTACAACAATAATATAGTCCATAAAAGTGCCATTTGTTTGTAAAAAAAATGCAAAAAAACTTCACTTTTACTTAAAATATCATCGTTGTAATACAATTTCCCAGGTTGAAACACTAATATTTGAGTTCAGCGAAGTCTCCCGAGTAAAACAGTACCCCCTATGTACAGGTTTTTTGGAGTCTTGGAGAGTTACAGGGTCAAATATAGTGCTTGCAAATTAAATTCTCTGCACTTTCTCCCTGTGTTGTCAGACATGTCAATCAAATGTTAATTAATCAAATCACAAAATTATGTTAAAAGATTACTTAAATATACACGTAGAATTTTAATATATATGCATTTATAGGTATTTAAATTCTACGTGTATACTAATGTAATCTTTTATGTAATTATATGTATTTATCTATATATATATTTGCGGTTATTTGTATTTTATATATAGATAGATATATATAGAATATCATTCTAAGTGTATTTTGTTACCAATATATATATATTAATAACAAAATACAGTTAGAATGAAATTACATATGAATATATCATTTATATTAAATTTTGTTTCAATATTTTATTTATTTATTTTATTATTTTATTTATTTATTATTGTAATTATACATATATATAATATATGTGTATATATCCATTATATATATAATATATATACATATTATATATATGTAACGTCATTCTAAGTGTATTTTAATACTAATATATGTGCTTATATTAATAATAAAATACACTATGTATGACGTTACATATATATAATATGTATATATATTATATATTTAATATATTTACACATATTATATATTTATAAATATATATATTTTATTTAACACATGTCTAATTTTTTTTTCCATTTCCTACCAGCAGGGGGACTGTCTGATATTTGCCATAGGAGGGCTGCCTGGGCTGTGAGGCAGTCCTCCCGAAGCGGAGCGCCGGGAAGGTAAGTATCCCAGGCGCTCCAGGGCTCAAAGCCGTTACGGCGTTCTATGCCGCCACAACAGCTTTTAAGCCCAATTAATGCAGGACGGCATAGAACGCCGTAACAGCGTGAATATTTAATTATAGCAGATTGTTATCTGGTAGTTTCTAGTGTAGAAAATATCAATCTGTTTTCTATCACATAGATCTGTGTACCAAGTGTTGTAGATGTAAAACAATATTACAAGTGACCAATGTAGTAAATTCGAATCAAAGTTACGCTTCGATTTGACTCTCAGAAATGAAATGCATGCCGCAAATGTACTATTTAGCAGTTTAGCACCAAAACCATAAGAATTTTTACAACTGCGCAGTAAGCGCACTATTAGACGCTTCTATTTGACTCTCAGATATGAAGAGCAGGCACCAAAATGTACTATTTAGCAGGTTAGCAGCAAAACAATTAGAATGTTTATAAGTGCGCTGTAAGTGCACTATTAGACGATTCGATTTGACTCTCAGATATGAAGAGCACCCCCAAAATGTTCTATTTAGCAGATTAGCAGCAAAACAATTAGAATGTTTACAAGTGCGCTGTACGCGCACTATTAGACGCTTCGATTTGGCTCTCAGATATGAAGTGCACACCCCAAAATGTACTATTTAGCAGATTAGCACCTTGAAAATAAGAATTTTTACAACTGCACAGTAAGCGCACTATTAGACGCTTCTATTTGACTCTCAGATATGAAGAGCACCCTCAAAATGTACTATTTAGCAGATTAGCACCCAGAAAATAAGAATTTTTACAACTGCGCAGTAAGCGCACTATTAGACGCTTCTATTTGACTCTCAGATTTGAAGAGCAGGCTCCAAAATGTACTAGTAAGCAGATTAGCACCCTGAAAATAAGAATTTTTACAACTGCGCAGTAAGCGCCCTATTAGACGCTTCTATTTGACTCTCAGATATGAAGAGCAGGCCTCAAAATGTACTATTTAGCAGATTAGCAGCAAAACAATTAGAATGTTTACAAGTGCGCTGTACGCGCACTATTAGACACTTCGATTTGGCTCTCAGATATGAAGTGCACACCCCAAAATGTACTATTTAGCAGATTAGCACCCAGAAAATAAGAATTTTTACAACTGCGCAGTAAGCGCACTATTAGACGCTTCTATTTGACTCTCAGATTTGAAGAGCAGGCTACAAAATGTACTAGTTAGCAGATTAGCACCCTGAAAATAAGAATTTTTACAACTGCGCAGTAAGCGCCCTATTACACGCTTCTATTTGACTCTCAGATATGAAGAACAGGCCCCAAAATGTACTATTTAGCATATTAGCAGCAAAACAATTAGAATGTTTACAAGTGTGCTGTATGCGCACTATTAGACGCTACGATTTCGCTCTCAGATATGAAGTGCACACCCCAAAATGTACTATTGAGCAGATTAGCACCTTGAAAATAAGAATTTTTACAACTGCGCAGTAAGCGCACTATTAGACGCTTCTATTTGACTCTCAGATATGAAGAGTACCCCCAAAATGTACTATTTAGCAGTTTAGCACCAAAACAATTAGAATTTTTACAAATGCGCAGTAAGCACACTATTAGACGCTTCTATTTGACGCTCAGATATGAAGAGCATGCCCAAAATGTACTATTTAGCAGTATAGCAGCAAAGCAATTAGAATGTTTACAACTGCACTGTAAGCGCAGTATTTGATGCTTCTATTTGACTCTCAGATATGAAGTGCACCCCACTAATGTACTTTTTAGCACCCAAACAATTTAAAGTTTTAAAACTGCAATGTGACAGCAGTATTTGACGCTTCTCTTTGACTCTTATATATTACATTCACCACACCCCACTAATGTATTAGTTTGCAGAATTCTTTCCTAATCTTTCCCTGAAAGCAGCAGCATCCTCTCCCTACACTTACAAGAGCTCATGTGCATGCGGCGCTACGCGACTCCAGCTTTTATATAGAGACTGGGTCACATGTTGCACTGGCCAATCACAGCCATGCCATTAGTAGGCATGGCTGTGATGGCTTCTAAGGGCACACGAGTCAAACGCTTGTTGATTGGCTGCCTGCAGCCTTTGAAAACGCGCCATTAAATTGCCGAACACCCAACTCCAACCCGAACATACAGTGATATGTCCGTGTTCGGGTGCGGGGTCCAAAAATCGTAATGTTCGGTACGAAGCCGAGCTTATTCATTATAAGTTACTGTTTCTATTTTCCAGGCAGCATACCCTCACAGTATGTGAGAGGTGTGCATACTTTCTTTTTGTATCTCCCACTTAATGCTAGTGTGGCACTGGCTAGACACAGCAGTAAAATAACCACCTCAACAGTCTCACACTAGGATTAATGACGCAGGCTATCTCCCATTTAAAGTTAGTGTTAGTGGCATTGCCAGTGGCTAGACAGTAACCTTAACATCTCCCACCCCCCCAAAAAAAATCAGCTCTTCTCCATTCTGTCCACCATTTTTTAATGACACGGCCATAACTCTAAATCATGAACCAAATGCAATGATTCATTCATTGTTTGTGTTATTTGTTTCAAGATTCTTCTGTTGCTCCTTTCACAACTCAACCCTCTGTCGATCCTTACACTGGCTTCCTGTACCCTATAGGTGTCAATTCAAAATATTAAACCTTACCTATAAAGCTCTAACCACACTCTAGCCCCTCTTACATTTCTGCACTGATTTGCCCCCTCTTGGTCTCACCGCTCTGCCGGTGACCTTCTCCTGTTTGCTACTTGCACCCTTACTGCAAATTCACGCCAACAGGACTTTTCGCAGGCAGCTCCTTTACTTTGGAACAGCCTGCCTACCCCATCAGACTCTCCCCTAGTCTTCAATCCTTGAAGAAGTCCCTCAAAACCCATCTTTCCAGAATAACTTCTGTCTCACAAACCTGTCTCTTGCTCTCTCCTAAAGGGCCACACTCCACTCTCACCTCCAGTTCTATTTTCCCACCATGTCTATTTGCTGTCTCTCTCAATACCCTTCCTATTGTGTTCTATGCCCCACCTCCTCTGACTGTAAGGTCGTTTGACCAGGGTCCTCAACTACCTATTGTTCCTGTAATATTTCCCTATTATCTCATTTGTTAAATTCCCCTTTTAATGTAAAGCGCTGCGGAATAAGCTGGCGCAGTGTAAATACCAATAATAATTTGGCCATTTGGAGTTCGAGATTTTAGATGTACCGCTGAACACCCAAAATTCAAATGAATTGCAATTCAAATCTGAATATGAAAGAACCAAGAATAAATTTTGCCCTTAAATTTGAAATTCATTTTCAATTCTCACTTTAGTGAATAACTGACTTCAAACTTCAATTCTTAGACCAAACTAGCAGATTTAAAAACATAGCTTGCAAAGAGAATTTTTCCATTGCTGTTATTTTGCCCTTCAACTTTAAATTAACTTTGAATTTACTAAGAGAGCCAAACAATTTATACATTCAGAAATATTAATTGAGTGGATGAGTTGTGCAGCACAAAATGTTGATCAAAACAGCGGCATGTAATATACATTAGAATCAAAACAGTATCAAATCTAATCCACTCCATAATTTTGTGTTGTATAAAAAAATTTAAGAAACAAGCAAGAATGATTTAAAAAGAGGGAGAAAACATCTCTTACTCATTAACCCTTTAAGCATGGTGGGCATGCTATGCCAACCTGAAAAATAGCACAAAAAAACCCCCTGCAATGGGCAAGTCTTATATTTGACCCTGTAATTTTCCAAAACACTATAAAACCTGGACATGGAGGTATTGTTGTACTCTTCAGACATCACTAAACACAAATATAAGTGTTTCAGAGCACTAAAATGTTTATTACCAACAATATTATCAGTTAAATGGCAGGTTTTTTTTGTAAAAAAATGCAAAAAAAAAGAAATATAAAAGGTAACTTTTGCCTGGGTTTGTGTCTAAGAGGCTACTAAAAAAGACTGGAAATACCCCATTTTGAATACCCTGGGTTGTCTACTTTGCAAATGGTATGCTATGATGGGGTTAATTATCATACCTGGGGTGCCATACAGTCTAAAAGGCAACATTGGCCCAGCAAACGAATCTGGCAAATTTCAATGTGTTTAAACTAAAAAGGGGAAAACCCTGTATTTGACCACTGTAACTTTCCAAAACCCTATGGAACCTGTGCATGGGGTGTACTGTTTCACTTGTGAGACATCGCTGAACTCAAGCATGTGTGTTTTATGACATTCACAGAATTAAGAAAAGAACACAATTTCTCATACTTCTAGATTTTATTCATATTACAATATGTTTAATATACACAATCACATAATATTTGATGTGAAATAAGAGCTGTGTTTCTCCTGAACAAAGTTATATATAATAAGTGTTGGGTGCACTTAATATGAAAGAGGTGAATTAAGGTTGAACAGACATATAGCGCAAATTCCAGGTTTTGTTTTGATCAGAATTTGTACAATTACTTCTGTTCTTAAGTGCTTAACTGTTACTAAGCAACAAAATAAAACAGATATAAAAATAAGTAAATACCTTGACACAACCATATCAGAAGATATGAGGCAAATATTTCATTCATGCAGATCTACTAAACCAATGCTATTAAGTTCACACAAGTGAATGCTCTTTCTTTTGAAAAATAAATCTACAGAAAGAAAAATATTATGCGCTGTAGGCGCTTTACTCTGAATATTTTGCAAACCAATACGTTTGGACGACTTCCATTCTTGAAGACATATAAAATATGCTCCATGGTTTATTTCCTGTATCTTGCCACAATTTGTCATTTTTGCTTATATTATTAAAAAAATCTAAATTATTATAGATTTGATGTATAAATATATAACATTTAGTTTTTTCTTACCTGAGATCTAGTGGCAATACAGCAAAACTGTTTAGAGAATGCTTGCCCAAGCTTCTTAACTGATTCAACAAGCATTTAGGTTTGTACTGAAGGAGGAGGTGTCTAAAACTCATGGTTTATACCGATGTGCAGATTACATGAAACGAAAAATGCTAAAAATTGTCACTTCCTCATTTACGCCTCTGTCAAGCAGAGCAGTTTCATAGTAGTGTGGTCTTTTGTGTTCTAAAAGAATGCACACACTTTGAGGAGATTAGTAGGTATAAAGATTAGATAGATATATGATCAGGCATGCAGACAGACAGAAAGAAAGAAAGAAAATAAGAAAGACATACAGGCTTATGCTTTTTCTAACAGTAGGAAATGTCATAATTGAACACTAAGGCCTTGATTACAATCCAGCCGATAACATTTATCAACAGTTTATTGGCTTCTGACAAGCCTTTTATCATAGAAACATAGAATGTGAGGGCAGATAAGAACCATTCGGCCCATCTAGTCTGCCCAATTTTCTAAATGCTTTCATTAGTCCCTAGCCTTATCTTATAGTTAGGATAGCCTTATGCCCATCCCACGCATGCTTAAACTCCTTTACTGTGTTAACCTCTACCACTTCAGCTGGAAGGCTATTCCATGCATCCTCTACCCTCTCAGTAAAGTAATACTTCCTCTTATTATTTTTAAACTTTTGGCCCTCTAATTTAAGACTACGTCCTATTGTGATAGTTTTTCTTCTTTTAAATATAGTCTCCAAGACCCCACTGGTAACAAGCCCATGCTTCGAATATACTCCATTAACTACAACCCTCTGTTGCCTGTCACTCAGCCACTGCCTTACCCATTCATCAATATTGGAATCCAAACTTAAAGATTGCAGTTTATTAATAAGCCTTCTATGTGCAACAGTGTCAAAAGCCTTACTGAAATCTAGGTAAGCAATGTCTACTGCACCACCCTGATCTATTATTTAAGTTACCCAATCAAAAAAATCAACAAGATTAGTTTGGCATGATCTCACTGAAGAAAACCCATGCTGTCTCTGATCTTGAAATCCATGTGATTTTAGATGTTCAACAATCCTATCCTTTAACATTGCTTCCATTACTTTCCCCACTACTGAAGTAAGGTTTACTGGCCTATAGTTGCCCGATTCCTCCCTACTATCTTTCTTGTGTATGGGCACTACATTTGCTAACTTCCAATCTTCTGGGACAACTTCTGTTAACAATGATTGGTCAAATAAATTTGTTAATTGTTTTGCTAGTACACCACTAAGCTATTTTAATAACTTTGGGTGTATTCCATCAGGCCCCATTGACTTATAAGTCTTTACTTTTGACAGTTGAAATAGAACCTATTCTTCTGTAAACTCAGGTTAAATCGATTTGATTCCCTCTGTCCAAGGTCTATTGGAAGCTAATAAATATCACTTTGAATAAGATTGATTTTTGTTTCAATATCGAAAATCTATATTATACATAGCATTGAAAATACATGGTTCAGCGATTCAATGTCATTTATCAAGGACATAATCTTCAATAAATTGACTTAAAAAGAAAAGCTCCGCCATTCACCACGCTGCCAGAGGGGTATGTTCGCTAAACAGCGAGCAGCCATTGGCTGGTTGCTTCAATAAAAGACTAGACACTAGGCTCCCTCAGTGGGGCTCTAATTAAATAATAATGCAAAGGAGACATAGTGCCCCATGCCCCCACTCTTGGCCAGTGGGTAAGGACTATAAAATTCAAGTAAGCAGATGGGTGATTTAATGATAAATTAGTGATTATGTGAACAATAATATTGATTAGCTGCTCAAACACCCTAAAGTTATTACTTTAGTAACTTCAAAACAGCACAAGATTACAATATATATTGTTTAAAAATTGATTATTGAATTGCACATTGATTGAAAACACTTTATGAGTAAATTTGCACAGATTTGCATGAATAAGCACTTTTGTTGGGAAGATTTATTACTCTTTATTAAAATAAGTCACACTAAGCTCTCCAGCAACCCAAAACAAGCATTGAATTGTGGTGAACAGAAATCATACATTAAAAATTCAAGCCAAAATAGCTAAACCATGATTATGGCTTAAGTTTGAGATAATCAATGTGGCATTCCAAATCTGAATTTAATTACTAAAACCCACTACAGTTTACTGGCTTTTATACACAGATGCAGATGTAAAACCCAATCTCCAAAGGGGCACTGTAAGATTATTTCATTTCAGTGTCATATGTTTATATATAAAAATATATATAGAGAGATATAATTATGGATGTATGAGAGAGAGAGGGAGAGATTTTGCATAGAAATCAAATAATTATTTTGCCTAATTATTTTGCCTACGATCATACATTCACTGACAACCAATTTCACTGACATACACACACCAATTCACTGACAATCTCACTAAGAAAAACACACAAACTCACTTGCAAACACATGCAAGCTCACTGACACTACCACACGTAAGCTCACCGACAGACAAGCTCATACAAACATGCATGCACAGGCAAGCTCACTGACAGTAAATCTCATTCACACACACAGACAAGCTCACTATCTGCCAATTTCACTAACACACAGTTAATTTGTCAGAAAATCTAACTGACACAGACAAGCTTACTGACACCAACGGACACGCTCACTGACACACAAAGACTGGCTCACTGATGCAAACCCACTAACACACATACACACTTTCTCATTGACACTCACCATATGCTGGGCATTTGAAGCATATTGGGGTCTGGCAGTGGGGGTGACACTACAGACTGGTGAGGTGGCTGATGTTAGCTCCTGCTGCTTAAACTCAGCCCCGTAGTACTGGGAGAGAGAGATGGGAGATGGTCCCTGCATGCACTGCTTACCAGCAGAGGCACTGAGGGACCAGTGACGGTGGCCGCTTCAAAAGCAGCTACCCAAGATGATTTTATTTGCAATAAATTTGCACAAAAAGATTCACAGAGAGTTTTTGAGGAAAGCACTTGGGATCCATGACTAAATGCATATCATCAATAAATAATATCCTATATCATCAGTTCCCAACATGTGGTAGCGTACGCCCATGAGAACATAAAAGAGGGGGAGGAGAGTGGGAGCAGCCTACATGTATTTCAGGGAGTGCCAGTGTTTGCTTCTGTGTGTTTGTGCATCTGCATGTGTGGCAGTCCTTGTATCTGTTTGTCTTGTACATCTGCATGCGTGTCAGTGTCTGTATCTGTGTGTCTGTGTATCTGCATGTTTATCAGTGTGTGACTGTGTATCTGCATGTGTGTCTGTGTATCTAGATGTGTGTCAGTGTTTGTTTCTGTATGTTTGGGTATCTAGATGTGTGTCAGTGCTTGCCTCTGTGTATATGTATCTGCATGTATTGCAGTGTGTGTGTCTGTGTATTTGCAATGTATGTATATGTCAGTGTTTCTTCATGTGTGTCAGCTTTTGTATCTGTGTCTGTATCTGTGTTGGTGTTTTTATTTGTGTATCTGTATGTGTTTTTGTGTGTCTGTGTATCTGTTTGTATCTGAATGTATGTCAGTGTTTGTATCTGTATGTATGTCAGTATTTTTATATCTGAATGTCATTGTGTATGTGTATCTGTATGTGTGTCAGTGTTTGTATCTGTGTGTTTGTGCATCTGCATGTGTGGCAGTGTTTTTTAAAGTTTGTTTGGGGGATTTAAAAAACATGAATTGCTGCTAAATGATTAACTTCATCAATTAGAAAAGGCGGCCTTGGCTTTCCCATGGTCAAAGATTATTATCAAGCCAATATTATAGGACACATTTATATGACACAAGAACCAAATAAAGAATCTGAAATTTGGTATAAAATTGAGAAACAACTAAGTTCGAAGGAGCCTTGTTATGCCATCTGAAAAAAATTTTGTACAACAGAAATAAAATACCTAAGTTATGCAGTTATGTATAAGAGAATTTATTCAATGCATTGAGACAAATAGAGAGCAGATTAGGAATACAGAAACAAATATTAGGTAATTTAAATATTAATGTAATGGAGGCCAATGTACAAGACTTAAATTTAGAAGCTTGGAGACAAGCAGGTAGACTGAACATTAAATAACTGCTCCTTGGCAAATTAATTAAGAATTTCTCTCAGCCAGTACAGGAATTTGGACTGAACAATAGAAACATTTTCTCTCAGCATTTTATGAACACCTCTTTATTTAAGGGTGATAGTATATTGATGAAAAAGCTAGAAGATATATTTGGAAGACAAAAAGTAACAAAAATAATGTCTAAAGCCTATAGCTGTTTAAGTCTGAAATACGAGGATAATAACCAAGAAACCAGGGGAAGATGGGGCAAACTGTTGCACATGGAATTTAATCCTCCTCCCCCTGCTTCCCCTGCACAGATCCCCTCTCCTCCTCCCCTGCACACATCCCCTCTCCCATTCCCTCCCCTGCACACATCCCCTATTCCCTGCATAGATCCCCTTCCACCTACCTCCTCTGCACAGTACCCCCCTCCCTCCCCTGCACACCCTCCCCTGCACAGATCCCTTCTCCCCCCTCCCCTGCACAGATCATCCTCTCCTGCACAGATCCCCTCTCCCCCTGCCTCCCCAGCACCCTGACAGTCACCCATTCCCTCCACCACACACCCCCTCCCTCCCTGCCAAAAAATAAAAGTATATATTTTTTAAATGTGTATAAACAATTAAATTCAAGCAGCGTGTTTCCAATAAAAAAGTTAAATATACCAAAGCGCTTCAGTAACAATAATTATTTAAAGGAACACTCAAATCCCCCCTCTCCCCAATAAAATTATTATTTAGTAGATATGCCCCCAATGAATTACATCCATGAATTTTTCATGCATGTATTCATTGGGTGTATATCTTTAAAAAAGCTTAAAAGTTTGTTTTGGGCTAGAGGCATTGAGTACTTAAAAGAGGTATGTCTGGTGCAGCCATGGATGTCCGCGACTGCACCGGACATGACGTAGGTCGAGATAGGGGTGACAACCTCAGGGGCAGCTTTAGCTACGCCACTGCCCCCATCCCTCATGGTGCGCAAATCTTTTTTTTTTCCCAGACTGATGATTAAAATGTACAACTAGTAAAGCATTCAAACACACATACATTACTGTCCACTAACACACACATCTAGACAATCCACTGCATAGAAAGATATTTATTTATTCATACATACACAATACGATCCTGTATTCCTAATGCTATAGTGTGCCTGTTTTTACCTATAGTAGACCCCTCCAGACCCCCAATTGCTAAAATATTAATAAACATTTTACTAACCTTTTTCCAGTGCTGAGACTCCCTCGTTGCTGCTCACCCCTTAATCTTCCATGACTTCATTAAGGAGGCATGGTCTTCTCCATTATGGTCCAATCCAATACTCCTCATAAAGGAGAATTGGGGACCTGATGAGCAGGGACTCATGTACTCAATGCTCTCCTATTGGGCTTCCATGTAATGTGACAAAGTTTTACTTGATCAGTGCAGTGGAAGTACATCTAATGGCTGTCATACTGCCAACAACTGGATGTGGGTTTAATCCAGCAATATAAACATGTAGTTTCGAAAAAAATGGAATGCTTTATATTGCAGGGTTAAAAGGACAGGGACACTGCACCCAGACCACTTCTTTCAGAATAAGTGATCAAGATAATTATAGTGTCCATTTAACCACATTTCATTAATCCTTTCCTCTCATCTCATTACCCACATTCTATTAATGCTTTCCTCCCATCTCATTAAACCCTCATTTCGTCACCACTCCCTCCCAAATCCTTGGCCTGGTGCTGTAGGAGTAGCATTAAGCTTGCAGCCTGTCTGCTTCCACTGCTCCCTTGCATCACGAAAAATTGCAAATTTATACTAGGGCCTTTTTTTTTTTTTATTCTTTTTTTTTTATTGTGCGTTGAGTGGAAAACATACAAGATCGTGGTGCCCCAATAGCATATTTTCAAGTATAACAGTTGGAGCATTAAGATTATTGGCACATTTTTTTACATTTTTTTTTAAACGTTAGAGTAATGCTGATGAGATCAGAATATTAGTAAATGTGGGTTACAGTAGCATGAGTTGTGGTTACAAGAAATTAATTGGCATGATTGACATAGGTTAGTAGCATGCTGAATGGTACATCATCCTAACCAACTAGGAAGTTGCTTGGGGTCTGAAGCTGGGTGTGTAGTTAGTACAATTATATGAAAAACTGGCATGTGTACAGATGTTTTTATACAGCAAATAGCTTAACTAGAATGATTATTCAAATAAGGTAAAATTGAGTGAAATACAGTAAAGTAAAATAAAATAACATAAAATACCACCAGGCAGATCGTGGCACAGTGGGTCAACATCAGGTTTGACTGTGTCCTTACTAACAGACATGTCCATGTAGCGGTGAATGCCGCCAGAGTGTCCCCTGGTGAGGCTGTCTGCGGTGAGTTCCGCGGTTTGTGCCTTTCATGTCTTCCGTCGTGAGGAGTTGGAGCAGCCATCGTTTCTGGCGTTGTGAATGCTGTTAACAGGCATCCTCCTCACAGACGTGGGAATACACCCCGCAGGTCTCCCAAAGTCCACTGGGTCCCGACAACCCGCTACAGGGCATAGTGTCCGGAGGTCGATGTGGTTGTGTTATCTGGTCATCGGGTGAGTACGGGTGTTGTGCTGTATACACCCATTTGACCAGGTGCGGGTAGCGATGCAATTTAGCTGTTACAAGGGGATAACTTCTCGGGGCCTTCCCCCAGTGATGGTCTATGGTCTTGGTAATAGGAGGCTGAGGTAAGGCGTTCTCAATTGGGGCATGTATTGAGCTTGCAGCGTGAATAGGCGGCAGAGTTGTAGGCTGCCGTCTTTCCCTCCCCTACCACATTTGCAGTCCAGGGGTGTTCATGGGTTCGGCTACGTGGTGTGTGAGGTCTGCATCGGAGCGGCCTGTGCGGCTCATCTCTAGCGGCCTGTGGGGTAGTTACATCATGTTCGGCCATTTTGTTGGGGCCGCTTGGCAGTCGTTGGTGGTCGGCGCCGAGCCGCCCAGGAGTGCCTTACAGGTGTTTGCTTGCCTGGTGGGATTATCCATTATTATTGTATTCAGAAGCCAGTTCCCATTAATGAAATTTCTCTACAAGGACTTCTTACTTTGCGTTCCATAGGTTTTTTTGGTCGTCTATATGTTTGATTATTTTATATTGTCTTTGACTATGTGCTCTATACACTAGTGGTGATGTGAGATGCTTTGGTATTTTTATAAAAAAGTTGAATCCATTGGGGTATCCTTGCGCCCCCTGATTCGTTGTTTGATAATTAAAAGAATAATCCAAGCAAAAAAATGTTTTAATTAAATACTTGTTTTAGTTAGAGTTACCCCTACTGGCATGGACATTCCAAAAGTAAAAAAAAAATTTAAATAAAGAAAAATGTTCTCCCTCCTCCTTGATTCTCGTACATTGTCATCACTCCTCCTACATGCAGGTGTAGGAATGTTCCAAAGGACAGGTTGAGGGGAGGTATTCAGCGTTAAGGAAAGGAAACTGTGCCACCATCGGTTGTGTGTCGCAAACATGCTTTGAGTACTGGCGACAGAGGACAAATATGCACAGAACTGACATTAGAACACCGAGAATTCTCTTTCCAAGTTTGTCAAAGTAAGGTATACTTTGATAAAGATGGCTTTCTATTTTAATTTCCTTTATGTTAAATTATAAAAATGCTAGGTAAGGTCCATTAAGAGCCAAATCAAGAAAAGCTTTAAAAGTATTTGTTTGAATTATTTTTTTTTGGGCTGGGATAACCTTTTAATATCCACTTGTCTAAATGTTGGTAGCAAGAGAGACTATAGAAAACATCCACAAAATGTTGAGATTGTGCTGGGGGCTCAATCTTTTTTCTATCATAAGGAAGAGCACGACAAGAGTGAAAAGGAGTCTCTACAACCTAAGAAAATGTGTCACCTTTTTGTCTTCCGTTAGACAACGTTAAGTCCCCTAACTGCTCATGACGACTAGTTTGTAATTCTCTTGATTTAGACATCTAAGAATCAACTTTACAAGTATGAAAAACTATTTTCCATATTTCCCACCTCATTTTCTTTTTCTAACACAAGAAAAACAAGAAAATGCGAATTAACATAGAAATGAAAGAGGAATGTGTGGTCTTTTAGAGGAAATAACCTTCTGTACTGTTTTCTGTCTAAGTATGTACATAGTGCTATTTATGCTGCAACATCTGAAATAGTAACTGAGTTTATAAGAAATGAAAAATAGGACTCCTACTGAAACTAGACAACAACAAAAAATGTACAATTCCAATAAAAAAAACAGTATAAGATGATTATTAAAAATAAATTGCAAATATAGGAACAACTTTTGATAGTCAGCAATATCTGCAAAATCCAATTAATTTAATATTTCTCTATTTAATTATTCTGACCTTGCAAGACAGACTTCATACCTCACAAATTTAGAGCTGGATTCTCATAGCACAGTACAGGTTTTCTCTGCTTACTGAATAAGTAAGTTGTCTTACAGACAACAGTGGAGGAATGGTTAGTCAATGAAAAAAGTAAACCCTTCCTCTGCTATGAGAATCCAGCCCTTAGTCTTTAAGCAATTATGTTTTCCTCATAGAAAATACACAGGTTTTGACACAACTATGCTATGGGGACCTCTGGCAATACTTGAGGAAAGTCTCAAATGGGGCCTGAAACATCAACTATTTCAGTTACCAAATTTTGGGAAACTTTTTAACATGGAGAAATAAAAGGCTATTTTATGGAGTCCGTGAGTGCAGATGTTCTTTCACCTTTTGTATGTAAGTGGCTATGGTCTGGCACCCGGCATTATTCCAAGTTATACTTGTGGGCAAGAGTGCAAGCATCTTCTACACGTGTGTGTGTGTGTGTGTGTGTGTGTTTATATATTTATATATATATATATAAATAATTACATGCCATGAAGTTGTTGATGGGGGTATAAACTGTTGGACAGGTGTGGCTGAATCCTGCTCAGCCAATTCATTGGCAAATTCACACCCTGGAAACCATGAGTGTAGGGGAGGAATGGGGAAAATGCCACATGAGGATGACATAAGATGTGAAAATTACATTATACCCAACAGTATGAAATTGAAATTAAACTTTTGCTAACATCAATTTGATTCAAATCCAAGTACAGTGGAACATCGGTTCTGGAACACTTCCTTACTCGAACAATTCGGTATTCAAACAAAATATTTGAGAAAAAAAAATGTCTCGGTACTTGAACAAAACTCGGTATTAGAACAAAATCAAACAGCATTAACCTCATTGGTACTGCTTTGGAACCTTGTTTGTATGACAAACAAGGAGCCCCTTGTATTGCTTGTTTCTCAAAAGGAGATTTGGATTCTATTTCCAGTTCTTTTTGGCAATCATGTGGCGTCCCCTATATTTCCATCAAATCAGAAATAATATATATTTTACTGGTTCTATCCTGAGTGGTTTATCTTGCAACTTCAATATTCAATGAGCTACCCTCTGGCTATGTACTCCTAAATCAGGCCAATTTTTAACAGCTTTAAAGGTGTGTGGGGTTTATAATTATCTGTCCAAATCCTACAATGTGTTGTGTTGCTTCTAAAGTCCAACTTACATCCACAAGCTGTTTTGCATAGAAAAACATTTCCCTTTCCATTATCCCAGTATTCGTAAAGAGCCATGTTACCTTTGCATTGAAACTGCTATTAATTTAGAGACACCTGCGTAACATTGAACAATCCCAGGTGTCTCTGATACTTTTAACTCTCTACTTTGCCTATTTTTGCCATTCCCCCCCCAAAACAAACCTTACAGCTGATAGTTTTGCATGCTACTTTACTGACAAGATTGAACAGCTAAGGAAAGAATTCTCAACACCTTGCCCCTAACTTTCTCAACCACATCTGGATCATGCCTCTTTAACTCTTCCGACCTTCTCCCAGGCTACTGAACAAGAGGTGGCTGCACTTATCCTTTCCTCTTGCCCCACCACTTGACCGCTTGATCCTGTCCCGTCTCACCTTATCAGTTCTCTCTCCTCTTGTCTTGTGCCCTCCTTAACACACATCTTCAGCTGCTCTCTTTCTTCTGGCAGTGTCCCTGCTGTCCTTAAACATGCTAATGTAGTAACCATCTTAATAAAAAAATGTCTTGACCCATCCTCCCCTTCTAACCATCATTCTATATCCATACTCCCTTTTTCCTCAAAGCTTCTTGAAAAAGCTTCTTTACCCATCTGGCCTGCTTCCTTAACTCCAACTCTCCTTGACCCTCTTCCGCCCCCTCCACTCTACTGAGACGGCCCTTATTAAAGTCACTAACTATTGTTGGAACAGGTGTGGGGCCACCAATAACCTCCCTGTCCATCCATAACAATGTGTGGCATTACTTACCTCCGCCGAGCTGCGCAGACCTCCTCCTGCCACGCAGTCTGACCTCTCCAAGCAACTATGCGGCACACTGAAGGAGACTCCTCTCCCTTGATCCATGCAGACCTCCTCTTGCCACACAGTGTGGCCGAACCACGTGGCCGCGCAGCAGGACCTCTATATATAGATGTGGACGTGATGTCACGCCCACTCTTAAAATGACCATGTCATCATTGGGATCCTAATCTGTTTTGGATCACTGATGACGTAAATTTATCAGAATACAGGTAAGCCTATTTAAGGCTTGTTTTAGCCCCCATTCATTGCCCTATCGTTGTTTCTGTTAGATCCTCATTTAGTGCTCCTCAGATAACCTTGTGATTTCCTGTGTTTGACCTCGCCTTCGTATTTGACTTAGATTTTCTGGTAACCTGACCTCGGCTTCATATTTGACCCCTGATTTCTGGTATCCTGACCCAGCTTTGTCTTGACTCTGAGTATTTCTGTTATCCTGCCCTTGAATTATCTTGACCCTGTTTCTTGTTGTATTATACGTTAAGTTGGACCATTCTAAGGCTCAGTAATACGTCTTTCGGATCCACCCTTTTGTCGGTTTTCTCTTTCCTGCATGTTGGGGTACGATTCCCATGACATTTTCTCACTAACGGTTTCCCTGCTTGCACCTCCTCAATATCTTTCCAAAACTTATTAAGCCCTTCCTTAGACCACTCCACCATCCATACTAAGTGTGTGGCCAAGTGGTAAAGTCTGAAGTCAGGAAGTGTGCAAATTGTATACGTGGTTTGTTTTTCCTCCATACGTATCATTTGAGGAGGGATCTGAGTGTGCTAAAGATGTATTGGTGGCTCATGTTTCTGTCCTGTTAGGCTTGTGGAAATTTGGTAATTACTTTGTATTATGTATCCATTTTTTTTGTATTGTTAATATTATTTGTTTGAATAAAGGATTTATATATTTAACTTGGCTGTTATAGTGTGCATTCTGATTCTTTGTATATATATATATATATATATATATATAAATATATATAAATATATTTGTTTTAGGCACTTGAGGCAGTACTTGTGATTGTGAGGTTTGCACCTGCTGTTAATTACAATTTGTTTGCTCTCTATGTGTTATTGTTATTATAAAAGAATGGATTGGCATCATGATTGGCATAACGTTAAATTGTCACGCTACCGGTCTCTTGCAGCACTGTGCCATCAGAGAAATGAATGTCTCTGCTGTGTTGTGATACACACCCACTTATCCCTAGCTTCCTGGTGCCTCATTATGACATCATATCATCATATATGGTATGGAACCCTCCCATTGGTCTCCTTTTATAATGTCAGTCTCTAAGTGGTGCTTTTGATGATATATACTCACTTGTGGCATCATGGTCCTCTGTAACCAATTACAACCTAGTATAGAATATATATACTTCCTGGCTGTTCTTGTTTCACTAACCTGTAGTGGTTCTTGTTAACTGAGAGTGTGTGTATATTGTGTATTGGTTTACTGTTTTCTGACCTAGGCTTGTTTGACTGTTTTTGCTTTCTGTTATCCTGACCTAAGCATGACTATCGATTCTGTTATATCTGTTATCCTAGACCTCGGTCTGTCTCTCGTTTTTTTTCTCTGGCTGCTTTCAGACATTTCATTTATGTCTCAGGCACTAGCCCGGCCACTCTAAGGACTGGTACATTTAATATTATTACTGATTCCTTTAGGTTTGCGTGACACAAATAAACAAAGTAGTCACAGCAGTAAGTTTATTTTGACTACCCCTAATCTCCCTAATCATGAGATGTGAGTTAAAGGTGAAGGGCATAAGAGTTGTCAGCGTACAGCAGGTCCAAATCAATTGGTATCCAGATACTTGGATATTTAATCAAGTTGGACCATTGGAAAGGATACAGTTGGTAGATTGAGTCAGCTTGTTCGTCCAATAGAAAAACATTCAGTATGTGAGATTTTTTGAAGTTGATATGTAAATTAGAGAGTGTTCCATACTCCTAAAACTCTGTCATAATGTGCGGCAGGGAAACTCAGGGGTTCGAGATGTAAAACAGAAGGTCGTCTGCATATGAAGCCTGCTTATGATGTCTCTTACCCACTTTCAGTTCAATAATGTGTGGGTTATCCCCTATTGAGTTGAGGAACTACTCAAAGGCAAGGATGAAGAGCAAAGGTGAGAGTGGCCATACCTGTCTTGTTCCACTTTGTATATGAAATGGCTTGGAAAAAGCATTATTTAAAAAAACTCTTGCAGAAGGGGAAGTGTATAGCGTCTGGAACCACCGCAACATGCGTTGACCCAGCCCCATATATTACAAAGTAGCTAATAAGGCTTTTTCTGCTTCTGTAGCCAGTAGAATAAAGCTCCTCAACTGCACCCTTGCATTGCGTATTAGAGTTAGTGTTCTGATGGTATTGTCTCTTGCTCCTCATTGGGTAATAATCCCACCTGGTTAAGTGCTTGGAGGTGGGACTGAAGTCTATTTGCAAGAAATTTTGCGAACTGTTCAGTAAGGAAATGGGACGATAGTTTATACATTGCTCTTTATCCTTGCCCTCACTAAGAATAATAGATGTTTAATGCTTGCATCTGTTTGGAAATGGTACCCCCTACCTAAGTGTGTTAAAGGCCACTAAAAAGTGAGGGTATATTATCCAGGCAAACTGCTTTTACTACTTGACGGGGAGCCTGTCTGGTCCAGGGCTTTTGCCTAATTTAGTGAACTTTATGGCCGAGGACAATTCTTCATCACTGATAGAGTCATCCAGTAATCGGGCATCTTCAGGGGACAATCTAGCTTGTATGTGTTTTCTGAAATAGTCATCAATCTGCTGGTCTAATGATTCCCTCTCAGTCTGTTGGTGGAGGACATAAAAGGATGAATAATTATTACAAATTACCTCTGTGATTTTGGTAAGTATCAGTGCATGTTCTGCATGCCTCTCAACTTACTCATATGTGTAGTAATCTCTTTTTTGAGATCATCTTAGCCAGGAAGGATCTGCATTTGTTCGCTGTAACGGATCACCTGGCACCCCGACTGGGTACCTCCATTGAAGGATGCTCCTAGCGCTTCCTGAGGACTCCAAGCACTGCAGCAGACACCACAACCATCGAACCGGAGAAGCATACGAATGCTCTCAAGCATATGAATGCTGTAAGCAGCTGAACAGGAAAAGCATACAATCAGCTTACGCTCCTGGCAATCAGCATACAATCCAATTCCCCCAATAATGAGATGACACTACGTTTTGAGGTCAAGCAGAACTGATTAACTGGGGCTACCTGCCCGGCTTTTATGCCGGTCTCCCACCTGGTGGACACTCCCCTAGGGGACCAGATGGGAAACTGGGAAACATTTTGGACATTGACCAATCACAAGCTTACAATCCCACAATGCATCACAATCCCTCCTCTCTGTCCTGGAAATAATTGGGAAGTAATCCCATTATCTCCAAAGACAGAGACAAAACTCCATTAGCCACATGGCAGACAAAGGACAATAAAAGACATAAAATTACATACTGTTACATTTATCACATAGAACATACACATTCTACATTTCCCCAGATAGCTTAGATCTGAGCGCCCATTACTACCGAATGGCGCTCAGATAACATACATACAGTTCAATTGCCATGGAGCCAAAGTCTTTCCTACAGTCTTTCAGTATACGGCTGGGCTCCATGGCATAGCTATTTGGGGGTAGCATGGCTTTAACAGTCCGCAGAAAGGCACGAACCAGCCTTTCTGCAGGGAAAAAGAACAGGGGCCATAGTCCAGTGGCAGGAGACCAGGCTCCTCCAGTGGCCAGTGGCGAGGTTGGTTCCGCCACATTTCTCGCTTTTACCAATCAGACCAACAGGGTATCTGACCTCCTGTCGGTCAGTGCCCTGGTTAGTCCAGCAACCCACCCACAGCACATAATCAACAGAGTGGCCCACCCACAAAATTTGGTTACTGCACCTGGGGTAGTGGGTAGCTTTTCCATGTCCAGGGGCTCCACCACGGCTCTGGGGTTTACTAGCCAAAGTCCTCATTGTCAATATTATCCCAAAATAGGCCAGGGCCAGCGTAATCTCCGCCCTCTGGGAACTCATACTCTGCCATTTCGGGGACACACTGAGCTGCGTACCACTGTATCGCTTGGTATGCATCGTCGAGTGCCAGTTCTGCATATACTAGAATCTCGAGTCTAGTCACCCAAGCTTCTTCGGTCTGTTTTCTCAGGAGGGGCTTCCGCTTTGCCATTCGAGCCAGGATTCGCTGCCTTCTGCTGCAGCGCCGATCCCCTCATGAATACTGTACTTTCTCTAGGGCTTCGTCCCACAATCCGGCTCTGGCAATCTCTCTGTACCTCAACATGTCCTCCTCTGACACTGCTCCAGACCTCAGGGATACGTAACAGAACAATCAATCTTGAAACTTCTCCTCCATTTTCTCCTTTGTAGATAGGAGAGAAAAATAACACAAAAAATTACTACCCAAAGGTTTGACAAAGACTGGTGGTAGAAGTAATGTTAAAATACCACCATTTGAAATACCCTAGGGTGTCTACTTTTCAAAAATATATTGTTTGATGGGGATAAATTACACTGAACGGCTTCAAAAATGTCCCAAATGGGACAAGGGTGCATGATGACCAGCTGTGAAAATTCCCAATTGGAAAAACTGGAATATGCACCCTCCAAATAAGGTCTTTTAGCCCCAGGAGAACCTTTTAGCCCCAAGAGACCATCTTACATGGGTGGTATCACTGTACTCAGGAGATGTTGCTGAACACATATTGGGTTGTTCTTTGGCAGTAACCCTTAAAGTTCTCAGTACATGTATTATTAAATTGCTATGTGTGTCCAAATCACCAATTATTATTTTTTTTTTATTTAGCATAGATTGGTGGTAAAATGGTTGCATAAAACGAGCATGAAAAGAGTCAATAGACCCCATGTTTAATACCTTAGGTTGTCTTCTTTTAAAACATATATACATGTGAAGGTTTATTGAGGGATTCCTGACAGATATATCAGTGTTACAATGTAACTTGCATTAATTTTGAAAAAAAATGGTTCGCAAATAGCAAAGTGCTACTTGTACTTATTACCCTATAACTTGCAAAAAAAGCTAAGGACAGGTTAACATTGGGTATTTCTAAAATCAGGACAAAATTTAGAAACTATGTAGCTCGGGTGTTTTTTGGCGTTTGTAGATGCGCAACAGATTTTGGGGGTCAAAGTTCAAAAAAGTGTTTTTTTTTACATTTTGTCATCATATTTTATAATTTGTTTTATAGTAAATTATGATATGATGAACATAATGGTATCTTTAGAAAGGCCATTTAATGGAGAGAAAATGGTATGTAATATGTGTGGGTACAGAAAATGTGTAAGAGGAAAATTACAGCTAAACACAAACACTGAAGAAATGTAAAAAGAGCCTTGGTCCTTAACGGTAAGAAAATTGAAAAACGGTCTGGTCACTAAGGGGTTAAATACTATCTCATGAGTAATTTTCTGTGTTTCAATATGATTAAGACAATTATCTTGATAAAACTATATACTGGCGCTCTATTAAGTTAACAAAGTATTATGTAAAAGGACATATAATTGCTGCTATACCACCAAGTGTAATCTTTCCTCATACACAAATACAAAACACATAATACAAAAAAAAGGTGTAGCGCTACATACAAATATAAAATCATCCAAAGTCTGAATGGCTGTCACTCCAAAAAAAAGCCACAGTATTGAAATAATGTCCTGAAAAAAAAAAGATTAAATTCTTTGGTTACCAGTCAAATGAGAGTGGCTGAAATGTAGTATTGCTGGATGTCGTCTAGGTTCCTAGTGGTCACACACCACGAGATTGTGCACAAGATTTCCACACCTGCAGAATCTTCTACCTTCATAAGGTCTTTGAGCTTACCTGTCCTGGCAAATGACCCCAAAAGGCAGCCAAGCACACACATCAAGGACCCCTGACAAGCTGTCCTCTTTATACCTATGGGTTCATTCGGCCCCACAAACAGGGACTTGATGACGCTATGGGTCATAATATATATAAGCAATTAGAATTCTTATGTTTAGTTATGCTAAATTTCTTATACTATAATACCAGTTGCATTTAATTTGTAATTATATTTGTAACCTCCTTAGCGGTATCGCAGTACTTACCACTGTAAGCTCTAGTTCCCTAAAGTGTTTTGGGACTAGCCCTTTATCGAAGATGTGTAGCTTAACACCTTTAGCACACACCCCGAAATCGCCTTAGTTAGAGGTAATATTTGAAGACAACCTGATTTTTCCCATCATAGCTGTAACGCCCAGTGGTACATCCAGATACTAAGGCTGATCTTACTTCGCAGTTAAACTTTATTCAATAAAATTACTAATACTTGTTTTTTTTCATGCTTCATGCTTGTAACTCTGGCTTCTGATATCTACTGTAATGATATACATATTTGCATTTGCCATTGATGTTCTGATTTCTACTAAGTTTTGATAAGAAAACAATAATGATTGACAAGAAAAAAACAACTTCTAAGCAATAATCAGAAGAATATACACTGTAAAAAAAAATTATAAAACAGGCTTTAAAGATATTGCTTATAAGGTAGCATATATAGCCTCGGAAAAGGACTGCTGCCCAATGTTGTTTTGGCAACCGTTATGGGCCTTGAACATAAATATATAAAATTTAAAACATAAATAAATACAATGTTTAGTTATTATTTCTTTCTTCTTTTTTGGTGGGGAGGGGGGGTGGGTTTTTTTTGTTAGCTTTTTTTTATATACATTTACAGGCCTAAATATATTTGGCCTAGAGCAGTCTTCTAGTTCTGCCAGGTTCCAACGAAAATTATTTTATCCACCAGCTTTTTGTGTGCAATATACATTCATATGTCTTAGACTCTATGACATCCGTTCTTGAGCCAAGCCCCCGCTACACTTATCCAGACTTATAAGTAAATGAGTGGTTAGGTGATAACTGCATCCAAATTGAGCAGCATTGGAAAGTCTTTGGTTAGACAGCTACAGAAAGTCTGGGCTGGGGAAGAAGGGGAGGGCTTGCCAAGCCTTTAGACAAGAGCTCGTTTGCATGCTGTTGTTAGAAATACCCCCAATGAAAAATTGCTTAAAGAAACACTTTAGTTATCAAAACAACCTTAACTCAATTCTCTGCCATTTAGGAGTTGAATCACTTTGTTAATGCAGCCTAGTCACACCTTCCTGCATGTAATATGCACAGCATACCTTAACAATTCATATAAAGTGAGCTCTAAAGTTCACACTTCCTTTATTGAACAGCCTGTTTAATTTAGAATGTCTTATTTACATATGAAGCATGCATTTAATGTTTTGTATTGCTTGATTACATAAAAAAAAAAAAACACTTAGCAGCATCTAGTGGTCAGAATGGTACATTGCACTGCACTAGTTGTTCTACAGAAAGGAATACTTCCACCGCCATAATATCTTGATCTCAATTAAATCTGCACTGCATGGGCACTGTTTTACCTTCAGGGATTAAACGGTTTTGAAACAGTTCAAGAAAAACAAAAGAAAAGGGAAGGGCTGCGCCACAGGTAAGCACTATTAGTACAACTTATTGACACAAAAGCAGAAATAGGCCTGATGCAAATGTCTCACAAAGAAAGTCCTTATAATCCAAAAATGAAAAGTCAGTGCTTGATAGGATGTACTGTCCTCAATTCAACTTGAATATCCCTGATGAAGTCCACAGGATGAAGCGCGTAGGATACAGACGGATACAGACGTTGGGGACTTACATCCACTTGTTATTTTCAGGTCCACTAGGGTGGAGATATATCTTTTTGACCTTTTTATCTTGTAAGTGCATTTGTAATAAATCTTTTGTATTTTTATTTCCATCTGCACTATCTTTGGATCTTTTTTGCTTTTAAGTGTAAGAAGACTCCTATATTCTGAAGACTTACATATCTGATTTAGGATGATGTGCCTGATATTATTTCACCTATTTTCTCAGAAACTTCAATAATTACTTGAGGGGTTAACTCCACTTCTAGTGACTGTCTACCAGACAGACACTAGAGGGACTTCAGGGTGGTTAGGTGACCAGAAGTCGGCTAACTGATGCTGGACGTCCTCACGCTGTGCATGAGGACATCAGGCGTCTGTTAAATCCCCAGAGGAAAGAATTGATACAAAGGTTTCCTATGGGGAAGCCTAATGCAAGCGCAGAGGAGGAGCTTGACATCAGGTATGTGACCAAAGAGGTTTTAACCCCTTCACTGCCAAGGGGGGCACTATAGGGAACTATAGTGCCAAGAAAACAGCTTTGTTTCCCTGGCACTATAGATTCCCTTTAAAAAGTAGTAGGAAAAGGTGTAGTTTAAAGAGGAAGAGGTGTGGCCTTGACAGGAAGGGGTGGGGCAAATTTAGATTAAGGGGGTGCCCAGGTTTAGTCATGCCTAGGGCAGCGCAAAACTAAAATGCGCCACCGGCTTTATGGCATATATCTCCACTTTGGTCTCGACTGTTGAAAGGACATTGTTCCAGAAGTCTTGTGGTTTGTTCAGATGCAACTTTGCAAACCTAAGCCGTGCTGCCATTTTCTTTTTAGAAAAAGAGGCTGTCTCCTGACATCCCTTCCAAACAAAGAACACTTGTTCAGTCTTTTTCTAATTTACTGTCATGAACTTTTACATTTAACATGCTAACTGAGGCCCATAGAGTGTAAAATTTTACTCTTTGTTTGGAAATTGTTTTATAACCCTTCTTAATTTGATGGGCGGCAACAATTGCTTCTTTAAAATCCTTGCTGATTGATTTCCTCCTTGCATTGTCTTAACACACACCTGAATGCCCCAAACCCGCAAACTGCTAAAACGTCGGCTCTTATAGAGTGTAAAATTTTACTCTTTGTTTGGAAATTGTTTTATAACCCTTCTTAATTTGATGGGCAGCAACAATTGCTTCTTTAAAATCCTTGCTGATTGATTTCCTCCTTGCATTGTCTTAACACACACCTGAATGCCCCAAACCCGCAAACTGCTAAAACGTCGGCTCTTATAGAGGTAGTCACACTTGCTGATAATCATGACCAATTAATCAAGGGCATTTGATTAGCAACACTTAGCCTTAATTCCTAGGGAAGCAGTAAGGGTCTATTTCATTTTTTTAA